AGTCAAATCCCTCTCATTTATTTCGAAATGGTGTAATGCTCTCTTTCCCACAACTCGAGGAGCTAAAGCTCTCTCCGTCCGCTTTTTTGTCGTATATTCAATTGCTTTATGCAGTCCGAGCCCAGTTTGGGTCGAATTCTTTTATTCTAATTCAGTCCCCCCTAGAAAAAAAATGTCACGCAGAGATAGCTCCTCTAAATTGGTATCAACCTATTATGCTGAACTTATGGCCACTAGAACTTCCAGATTTGATAAAACGTAAACAAAAGTGGCAGGCACTCCTCCGAGACTTAGACCTGGTGATTGGTGTGATTTTGAAGAAAAGTATATGTCTTCTGTGATAGCCTCCAGAGATAGAATATTGCAGATGAAGTTTTTTTTACCAGGTCTATTATACCCCTTCACTTTTATAAACTTTTGGTCTCCGGCCCACTCCACAGTGCTTTAAGCGCTGTGGTCTGAGAGCTTGTAAGCCCCTTATGTGATAGAAATTCATTTTAAATAAAAGTAAAAAAAAAAAAATACATGTAAAAAAAAAAAAAATTTAAACAAACGTCGAGTGTACCTACATACAAAAACGGGGATTGTGCTATACATGTTAGGTATCGCCACGTGCCCCAGAGTGAGAGATTCACAGATATCTCTAAACTAATGACCTGTACAGGCTTTTAAAGCTTTAAAGCGTTGCCTCTGGACAATTTTGGGTGCCATATTTTGTTGCGGTTTCACGGACACATATTATTGTTAACATGGGCATGTTGGGTATCTATTTATTCTTTCATAACCATCTTTTATTTTATATTTTGTGTTTTTGGGCACTAAAGTTTACTTAATTGCAATTATTTCTACAAAATTTGGAGGTTTGAGTAAGAGTTGAGTTAATATCATGAGAAAATAATTTGCAATTGCAACCATTTTATTCTACTGGGTCTTTGCTTTCAGAAAATATATAATGTTTTGGGGGGGTGGGGGGGGGGGGCAGGGGGTTCCAAGTAATTTTCAGGCCTAAAAGGTGTATTATAATGTCTGCCAAAAACACAAAGAAGGCCTTGGCAGCGAAAAGGTTAAACCTTGGATACCACATCCTCATCACAAAAGTTAAAACTTCAGGTGGTCGCAAAGGCAAACAGACTTCCCCCTACATAGGGGAGAGGGGGCCTCCCTTCAATATGCAAAAGACTTGCTCATATGCTAGAAAAAGGTTTGAGAGTCGAAGGCTTGTAGCGGTAACCTACATATTGCCCTGAAACCTTCAAGCAGGGTAAGTACTTGACATGAGTGTGTAACAATCAACCACTTCCTGAAAAGCTAAAAAAATGCCTAGAAATGTATATATCTCTTTCCCCGGTATACAAGAAGGTCCCAAAGACACCCCTTCCCTTTACCCCAGTGTTAATTTTGACGGCAAAATTTCAAATAAGTTTTACTCCATTTAACTAAATTCCATTTAGTTTTAGCTGTATTTTAGTTATCTGAATTGTTTTAGTCTAGTTTTGTCAACTAAATCTCCAGTAGATTTTAGTCAACTAAAATCTAATGGCTTAATTTATTTGGAAGTGGAGATGGAGAAGTAAATGGGTGTGAGGGAGGGAACAAGTCTGAGAAGGCTGTTACACCGTACTAAACGTGCTAGGGAGATGGGAGGAGAAGCACTCATGTGACAGTAGCAGACAAATCTGAATCAGAAAACGATAGAGGAGTATTCTCTGCAGTTTGCAGGGCACTGATCCAGGGGGCAAGGAGACCATTGGAGCCTGCATCTCAGTTGATCCACCTGCCGATAGAGTCAGGGGACTGGGGGTTTGGCAGAGCTCCGAGGGAACCTGAAGTCCAAATAGGTAAATGCAATCAATAGTCCCTCCTATTTGTCAGATTTCTGTTAGTCGAGGAAAATGGCAATGTATTTTTGTCATAGTTTCAGTCCTATTAACTAAGTTCTTATTTAGTTTTCATTTATTTTTCGTCACTAGAAACATGCAGCTGACGAAAACTATGATGCAACTTTCTCCACTCCATCTTCCTTTTCATCTCCTGTGTCAGGAGGGTTCAAAGACTGTGCTACCCTAAAATGTACTATCCATGTATGTTTTAAGCCCCCCACCCCCATTCATAGCTCTAATTTTATCAACAATAAACCTCATTAGTACATACGAAAAAAACAATACCGGCGCCTCTGGTTGCAAGATGGGCTGGTTATGAAGTTTGTTTAAACACTCAAAGGGCAGCTCTCACTGGTCAAAAAGACCATCGATCTAGGAAACAAGGAACAAGACAGAGTGCCTCCATAGTGTGAAAGGGTAATTTATTTGTACAATAAATGGTGTATATGCTCTCCTCTTGCTGACAGTGCAGCAAGAGGAGAGCACATGCTAGTGGAACCACAGGTGCCAGCAGATCCACAGCAGCAAACAGTTTTCTGCTGACTTCCGCTGCTAGAGATTTTATACTTCATCATTTGTATGCTTTTAACCACCGACTTTCCTGTAAGTACCTTTTCATTTGCGTGTTGTACAAATAAATTACCCTTTCACACTATTGAGGCGCTCTGTCTTGTCCCTTGTTTCATTAGTACATAGTTGGGAGGGGCAATCTTTCAACAGAGACCCAAACCACACAATCAAAACATGACAAAAATGCATATATGTCTTGGTTTCAGCAGTTCTGGAAGGTTCTATCCTCTGCAGTATAGAGAACAGAGGATGTTGAGACAAATACACTGTCAGTAGCCCTTAGGGCAGAATTTAATTAAAGATGTAACTTCACACCTCAAAAGGTGCTGTACATTCCGTGACCAATACTTGAAACGCCAGAAATAATAAAATTTTACATATGAAGTTAGGGGGATGGGAGCATTTAATGCTGTACAGGAATTTCCAGTACACATTGTAGACACAAATACTGGTTACAGTAGTCTTACAAGGCTTCATTCACTCCTCAGTAGCTTTCCTTGGGCCTCATGCACATGGGACTTTTATGTGTGACTGGGAATTCCTGCAGCATCAACCTGTGCATTCCTGCATCAGGAATGCCAGGTGCATCCTTTCCATTGTGCCCATTCAAGTGATCGGTCTGTGGCTGTCCACATGTAAATCGTATATGGAAATATTACCAGCGCTTTGGGAGACACACTTTGTCCCTGGATGCAGACAGGTTGTGTCCAGGGAAAACATCTATCCTGACCTGGCAGGTAATCATTCCATATATGATGCAGACAGATGCTTCTACTCTCAGCCAGTCATTCACTTAAATATGCACAGCGGCCACATCTGTAAAGACAGACCTGGGATTCCTACCACAAGAATCCCCAGACACACATAAAAGTCCCATGTGCATGTAGCCTAAAGCCATGCTGAAGAAATTATGAAAACCTTTCTCTTTTTCTTAACTCAGTATCTGATGTATACCACAGAGTGAAATCTAACTATAGAGCTGCATTTTTTTCACACCCTGACATGCATGATTTCCTGTCTTAGGACCTAAGGATTTATTATTTGTTTTTATTGGATATAATCACTGTATAACCACTGGTGTTAAGTGATTTAAAAAAGGATGAACTGATATGGAGAGAAGCTTACCCATCTAGATTAGTGCAACATCTTAATGAACAGGAGTAAGAAAAGTAATTTCTTTCAAAATATCTGTTGGTCTGAGATTGTGAACTGAGTTTAAAAGACTTGTGGCAAGCATTACCCGATATACCGTTTTTATCTGGAAAGTCATTTTCAATGTTTTTAAATCTGCAGCTCTAATTAAAGTAATACCTAGTGATTCTGCCATTAAGGGCCATGTTTAGGCACTTCCTGTTATAGGGTTACAAAACCCTGGCCTTGTCTCCCATATATTCTTCTGCATTGACAACTTGGTACGCGGGCTTCTGATTGTGACTACAATGGTAATTTCAGCACATTTTACAAAGAATTGATCCACTGTTGTGACCCTTAGGTAGTCTGTTTTGACAAATGTCATGCAACCATTGCTGCAGTGCATGCATCTAGACAGGAAAAGGTTGCAGGGGGGCTTAGGAGCACTGAGATGCAACAAAAGAGTGAACATGAGTACCTTATATTATTTCAGAAATAAATGGCAGTTGTTCATGATGCACGGTGTAACAAACTACATGTCATTCCGTCTACATCTACTTTAAATGCATAAAAAACACATTAACATCAGTTTACACGCCCTTAAAGTGACATTAAAGTCAAAAACTTTTTTCCCTTCCCCCAATGTTAATTAAAGCACTTACCTTAAATTATATCTCTTAATCCGATCTTCCTCTGCTTTCCTGTCCTTTTCAGACTTCTCTCCAGCGCTGCTGCGGGTCTCCGATCCAGCGCTGACTCCTCTGTCCTTGCTGGCATCTCCTGTCCCACGGTGTCTGCATGCGGGTGCACTCGTCCATAGACTTACTTTGCGTCTCTCCTCGTCTCCCGGCTGAAAATCCGAAATGCGCCCATGGTCAGCAAAGGTAGCCTTCTAAGCCCGTGTTCACACCTGCACATTTGGCGCGTGTTGACAAACGCTGCAATATGCAAAATGCGCTTACTTTGCCATTAATTTCTAATGGCACCCCAAACATGGCCAGGATGATCTGCATTCTTCCTCTGCATTTTCATGCATTAAAATGCGCACAAAACTGAACGCAAAAATGCGGAATGCATGTCGCAACGATTGATACATATCGCTTTTTTGCCGCGTTTGTTCCCGGAACGAGCAGGTGCAAATGTGGGCTTAATTTGGACACCACAGATTTACTTCAATATGCATACACAAAAGAGGTCTATAATCATACAACCCCCTTTGCAATCAATTTGTAACAATGAGTAAAAATATGGCACTGCAATCCAAATAGTATTTGCTTTAATTACAGCTCTGACACAATGTAGAGCTTTTACACTCTGTGTATATTTCTTTGAAAAAAGGCCCATTCAGTCTGTACCTTGACATACTTTTGATTTTTACTTCAGTTCCTACAGCACAATGTACTTTCAAAGAAAATCTACCTTAACCTTTGTCTCGGGAATCTTCCACATGCGCTCAGATTCAAGCACAATCTCCGATTGAGTGACACCTGGATAAGGAAAGACAACGCAGTTTTATAGAATAAAATACAGATGCAAACAAAAAAACACAATTACAAATACTGAACATCTTTCAGACATCAAATTGGAAATTTACAAAACAGGTTCAGTTAGAGGCCATACAAAATAAATGCAGGATACAACAGCATTGAAAGGGTTTCCTATGCAGCTGTTTTGTTGAAGGAAAACCAAACTTTTTTTTTTTTTTTTTTACAGTAGAACATGTAGAAGATATCAATTCAAAGTGAACCAGTAAAGACAATTCTAAGAATCTGAATATTCTACTTTTAATTTGAGAGGTGCATCATCTCCCTTATTTAGATTTACTTACTCTGCTTGTGCCCGCAACTTCAGATTGTGCTACAGTGTCAATGGTCACCTGCTGTCTAGCAGTTGCTACTAGTCAGCTACTTAACCTCACATATGGCACACTCAAAAGCTACAGGAGATCAGACAGAGAAGGCAGCAACGGTTAGATATCTGGTGAGCTATGGACCCCCTGACATAAGCAGGCTCAGACAGATTAAATAAGGGGGAAAATATCATAGGATTTTTATACTTACTGCAAAATCCTTTTCTCCGAGTCCATTGAATGACGCAGCATTATTAACAATGGGTGCCTACAATGGGTAGGCATACAAGCATACAATGGGTGCCTTTTGCCTACAGGAAAAATGGAAACTAGGCACCCCAGAGGCTATGACCTGTCATGCTCTCACACCCAATCTGATGTAGCAAGCAGTCTAACCAGGAAAGGATAGCATATGAGGGTAGGGAGTTGTGTCCCTCAATTGATATTAAGACAATTATTTTACTGTAAGTACAAAAAACCTATTTTCTCTATCTTCCATTGCCGGACACAGCTTTATTAAACATTAAGCAACCAAGGGGCATTGAAAAGCTGTCCAAACTGAGGGGCAGACACGCCAAAACAGGCAAACCAGCTCACCAAGAATAAACCAAAAACAAAAGGGGAAAACCAAGGGATTAAATAGCTGCTGAAAAACTTTTCGGCCAAAACTAGCATCTGCAGAGGCAGATACACTGACTTTGTAAAACTTAGTGAATGTGTGAACAGAAGACCACATCGCAGCCGCACACCTCTGAGAAACAGAGGTCTGATAAAGAAAAGCCCAGAAGAAGAACTCACTGATCTATTGGGCTTAATGGTAAAAGGAGGCACGTTATCGTGCAACTCAAGCATGTACCCTCTTCACTGGTACCAAGGCAAATCTGATTATCCTTGTAAGCTTGGTATATATTCAAAGGCCACATAAAGCAGGGAAGAGAATAATAAAGCATGCAAGTGAAAAACAAAGCACAAAAGACAGTGCAGATAAAGATTACTTTTATTTGTTAATAAAGCTGCACTTAAAATGAAGTGATTTGATCAGGTCATATCACCTGGAAGAACTACTCTAATCGAATGCCAGGGCACGCCAACAGTGGTTGAAAGCACTCTCATTAGGTAGTCAGCAGGAGAGATGCAAGCAAGAAAATAAACTTCTGAAGTGGACACGGCAGGAACTATGGAGTAAGGAACTCCAAGAACGTCCTCAGGGGCTGGTGTAGAGAGGGGACTGAAGTTGTAACCTGGTTTAATAAGTACCTCCACTGACATGTTTCGAGAGGCATGGTGGCTTTAAATAGGTAGGTGATTGACAGCTCAGACATGCACTGCATGTCGCTTGTAAACAAAGGATATAAAAACCACAGCAACTCGAAGGAAGCAAGCAAACGAATAAATGTGGGAACAATGAATGATATAATGAACAATTACAATTTCATATGGCAAAAATAATGAATAAAATATCTGTAAAAACAGGAGTCTCAAATCTTAAATATTTGTGGATAATAAAATTATCTGTAAATTTTAAAAACGCATGGATATAAAAGATCCAATACATGCAAAAAAATAATAAAAATAACCGTGAAATAAAGATATTGCCATACAGAGGGAATTCTTTATTTTCACCATTAGATGTCACCAGATTCTAAATGTGCACAGTACTAAAACAGAAAGGAGAGTGGAGATGACATGAAAAAAAAATATTTTGAAATATTATGTACAAAGTGTGTGCCGACTAGAAATAAAATGGCAAAAAAAAACCATTTCAAAATATAGTTTAAACGTACAGAAAACACACAAAGAAAACACACACACACACACACACACACACACACAATATTGCCAAAAGTATTGAGACACCCCTCCAAATCATTGGATTCAGGCGTTCCAATCACCTCCATGGCCACAGGTATATAAAATCAAGCACCTAGGCATGCAGACTTGCTTCTACAAACATTTGTGAAAGAATGGGATGCTCTCTGCTGCCCCCTCAACACAACCACCCCTGTGTTTTCCCAATGGCAGGAGTGGATAAAGAGTCTTGGGGTACAGCATGTCATGTCAGAAGGAATTGGAATTTGCTAGAAATATGCAAGGTTGTATAGCAGTTTGCAAGAGAGTTAATTCAGAATTTCCAGTAGCTTAAAGCTGCTGGTGTGAGTTCAAAACTCTATGACCAAGGGATCAACTGCCATGGTGATCAGATCCCGTCTAATAGCTTTAGATCAGTCAGTCAGGGCTTTAGAGATCAAGGTTACAGCCAAGACAGGCTGCAGTGCAGAATCCATCAGGGAGAACAGAGCTCTAGAAAAGGCCTCAGGTTGCTTATTGGTGGGGGTCCTTGAAGTGATAATTAGGTCAAAAGGTTTTTAAGCCATTTCAAATCACTTACAATGGATACCGCTTCTTGATGTTTGAAAGTTTTAGTTTCCGGCAGAATCAGCTGGTCCCCTGAGCACTGGATATGATATCCTGTTTTAGGGTGGCTCCTTTCCCTTACAGGTTTCTATGGAGCCACACTTGTGCATGCTAGTAAGCCATATCTCCATTAACACACAGGCACAGCACGACAATCCAATCCGCTGCTCTCTGCTCCTCCCTCCTATCTTCTCTAAGCTAGTATATAGACAGCTGCTCAAGATTGCCCTCTCTATTGTGATCTTGTACAGGAAGTTCAGAAAGGCAGAGCCGAGCAAGTTGAAGCCGACGGTTTGGAAACATGACATCTACGTGCTTGGGCAAAAATGTAAACAAATAATATGCGGGCAATGTATATTTGTTTGATCTGGATTGATTGAAAAAAAATGTTTGAGAGTTTAAAGCTCCTTTACAGACAGGTGCAACCTCATCTAGGATGATAGATTCTTTAAAATGATATACTGCTCGATTCAAAAAGTGGGATAGTCCACTTTTCTAAGTTTTTCTTGAGTGAGCACAGAACTAATAGGTGTTTGGGAGGTAGAAACATCTTGTCTCAAAATGTTTTCAGTCTCCATAAAAAGACAACTAAGAACAGTTGATGCACCAGAAAGTTTTGGCACTCTTCAGAGCTCTAAAGGATCCTAAGACAGGGGACAGTGTGGAAAAGGCCTACAGGCTGAGCCTGAAGTTTTGTTCTGTTTTTTTTTATTCTTTATTTATAAACAACTCAGTAACAGTAAAAGAGACAGCTGTAAGTAGTACATACATGTGATCATAACTTCCATATAACAGCATGAAGATCCAAGAAAACGTGCACCTCGAAACATGTACATAGACATCCTCAAATGTCGTCAATCATGGGCATCTATCCTACTCTGAGACTGGCACATTGTCTACAAACCTGAGCAGTTACCTTTTCAAGTGATCCTCAAATTTTAAAGTGGTACAATTCAATCAATTTGGAAGTGACAGCAGAACACTGCGACTTTTCAGAGGCAGGTTTGTCCATCAAGGACTGAAAGGATAGATCAGATCGAGAATCTGTTGGGGACAGTATGGGAGGCATGCTTGTGGCCACAGTGGTCAGTCAGCAACTATCTGTACTATAAAAATCCTGCCGTTAAATCCTCCCTGAATAGAGGAGTGGAGGTGGCCACACCCAACAGAGTTAGGGAAGACTCCAGGCTGGATGAAATAGACCAACAGAGGGAAAACTCCAGGCTGCAAATGTCTGCTGTAACACTAGGCACGCTGCAAGCAGTATGAGAGCAGTTGGTGGAGTGTGAGCTGAAAGCACCCAATACAGTGGGACTGGCTCCCATGTGTCTGGAATCAACATGTTGCACCACAAGGCAGAAGGGCAAGGTAGTTCAAGGTACAAGGCAAAGTCTCAGGTACAAGGCAAAGTCTCAGGTACAAGGCAAACCCAACTGCTTGGAAGTGGGTATATGGTCAGGCAGTCGAAGTCGCAGTAGGCGGGCAGTAGGAACAGACGAAGGGTCAGAGTTCCTGATAACTCTTGCAAGCAAGAGCAGTAAAGAGCTTCTTTAACCCTGAATGGTGGAAAAAGCATGATGACGCACAACAGAGTCCGCGCTTAACCGCTTCTGTGGCTAAACAGTCAGAAAGCTGGAAATTTGAAGGCGCTCAGTGGCCCAAATAGCAAGGTAGCTCCTGGTGCTCAGCCCCAACGGCCTACTCACAAAGAGAGTGTTCAGAGACAGGGCAATCGCTGAGTCAATGACACAGCTCAGGGCCTGGAAAGCGCTACGCAGCTAACTTTTACCCGTACTCAATGTCTGGAAAGTGCCACAAATAAAAACCACTGCTTAAAAGGTCCCATTCCAGGCTAGCCCCGCCCAGGTAGAGCACTCCAAATCAGGCTGGGGAAAGTATGTTTCAGATCGCTACCATATAGAGACCAGCTCATGCAGTAATATAGCAAGAATCTTGATCGGAAAAAAAAGCTTGCAAAAAGCTGAGCTCAAGAAAAGACGTCCACCTTTTTAAGACACTAAAAAAAAACAAAAAAACAGGCATGCTGGGAGAAGGAAGGATTATGTAGAACTGGCCTACAATTGTTTTAGCATGCCAGCATCCAATCCTCCTGTAGAAGGCAGTATAACCTGACTGTATTTGACTTCCTGCGTCTTTCAGTAGGCAAGAAAAAAATCAAAACAAAAACCAAAACACAAAATTTTACCCTAACATACATTTTAAAGCTTTACGCTATACAAACCCTTACAAGATTGAAATACATATAGGGGATCCTGAGAAGATCTTTAATAGGAAGGATGTATGGCTTTACCTGACATGCGTTTCTATTATTATGCACGGGGTTCAAAATTTTCACTCGCCTGCTCGCATTTGGCGAGTGGAACTTCAGTCACTATAAGAGGTGCCTTGGCGCGGCAGTGCGGCTTACACATCCTTTGCAGAAGACGTGTATCCAAACCTCTGTCATTGTCCTTAGTGGTGAGACAAGTTGTTTTACATGCTGGTTTGTGAGTGTGCCATGATGCCTTTCTACTGTACCACTGTTCAAAGCCCATTTCATGTGCACCTTACTGTATAACTGGTAACAAATTGTTGAGTGCGTTTGTCGTTTGTTTTGCTGGAACTTCAGTCAGGCACACGGTCACGGACCGCGTACCTGACTTAATAGAGCAGCTGCTCCTTGCTGTCCTTGCTCTGTTCCTTTCTGCCGGTAGCTATGACAGTTCTGTGCTCCGTTCGAAAAGGATTGATTAGTGCGGTCTGCAGCAGACCTTACTAATCACCACTGGATCACCAGGGATCGGATTCATGCCTCCTCCCTGCAGCAAGACAAGCAGGTGAGAGGGCACTTTGTTTTATTCTATGTGGGGTATTTTTTTTGTAACTTTATTCTGCATATAATATTTAAAAGTTTAATTTCATAAAATAATTTAAGAGGGTATGTTTAGGGGTGGAGTTAAGACCGGGGCAGGGTAGGGTTAGGTGGGACAACCCGGTGTAACTTTTAATGCCTGGCAGGTAGCTCAGGACTTGAAATTTGGAGCCCTGATTATGCAGTTCATTTGACCCGTATTTTGGATTGGTGTCGCCATTGCAATTCTAAGCTCTGGATAGAAATGGAACAGTCGTACTCTGCAGCCCCTTTATCAGGCCTTCCATGGTGCCATGTCTCTGCCCCTTTTCCCTGTGCAATCCAAAAACACCCAACAATTAAGCCTACTCTGGCAGTAGCGAAAACTGTATATTCACAGAGTACAATATCACCATAGCGTCACCTTTAACCCCTATTTTAGGTAACCCTGCTTTTCTACCTGGACTATGGGATGGTGTTTTTACATCATTGCCTAAAGCTGGCAAGTTCAGAGCCCTTCATTTTTTAGAGGACTCTGACTGCCTTTCAGAGACCACTTTACAAACTCATCCTAGTTATGCCAGCTTAAACCATTGGCGAAAGACAATTGTCCCATTTTTTCAAATCACTACCGGAAGCCTGAAGATATGATTGACCGTTGACTCGATTTGAACTTGAATGATCCCAGATGAGCCCAGTACGACATGGACTTTTGCTCATGATTGGGGAAGAAGCCGCATATGGTCAACGCTGTGCGTGCCTGTATCACAGCCTTGTGGAGGAGACCGGAGTCACCCAACATACACTATTGGCTCGATCACATTCAGGATATTTAACTTATGGAAGACATTACGAGCTCTTGTAAGATTACCTCTGATAGTTTTCGGATAACGTGGTTCCATTGGAGGGAGTTTATAAACTCACCTGAATATCTTGTATTATGAACGCACAAAGGATTTGTATTTCTCACCCTCCAGTCCTGCTGCTTCACAGTGCTACCAGACAGGAGAGCCAGAATGGTGACCCCATTCTTGTCAAATGCTGAATTTTCCATTGCAACAAAGGCAAGTGTGTTTAAATGGAAAAACAAAAACGTATAACAAGAGAAGGCGGTGTTTGACTTACTTTGTCTGCAGTTGTATGTTTGGGGTCATTGTTATGTTGCAGAATGAATTCAGAACTGATCAGATGCCTCCCCCAATATATTGTATGACTGCCTGTACTTTTCAGCATTAAGGAGACCATTATTTCTAACCACATTCCCAGCACCATGGGCAGACATTCTGCTCCAAACCTGTAGGGAACCTCCACCCTGCTTCACTGTTGCCTGCAGACACTCATCTTATACTGTTCACCAGACTTGCTGCAAACAATTTGCATTCTGTTACAGCCAAATATTTCAAATTTGGAGTCAGCAGTACAGAGCACATACTGCCACTTTTTTGCACATCACAACTAAGCGAGTCGCGTAGTTGAGTCGCTTGGCTTTGTTGCCACATCAAAAAGGTATGACTTTTTAACCTCAAGTCCTCCATGAAGACCATCTCTAACCAGACTGTAGTTAAGTATACCAGGATCCCAATGGTTTCAGCAAAGTCGGAGCCGATGGTGCCACTGCACATCTTCTGTTTGGGAAGGGAAGTTGACATGTGTCTTTCATCTGCTGCAGTTTTTTCCCCCAGAGTCAACCACTGTCTTTTCTGTTCTCAGCATTGCCACTTTCTTTGTGCTTCTACAGAAGAGCTTGGACACCACATCTGAAAATGCATTCCTTGAAATTCTGCCCTTGAGAGACCTTGTTAATGCAAGACAACCATCCTGCATCTTGTTGCTGTTCTCAATCTTGCCATTGTGGAACATATTTTACACTGACCTATACCGAGCAACTTCAAATCAACAGCACAACATAGGAACTAAAGAACTGAATAGGGAAGTGCTGGACAGCTGGAGACTCAGGCCACTGCTTCTGAGTGAGAACAATGGTCTCCCCAAGGTGCTGCCAATACAGGGTATTTAAAACCCTTGCTGTAGCACCTAGGAACTGGAAAAAAACACTCAAAAGCAGTGTATTATGTAATCTGAACACATTACAGTAATGTAGAGGGTTCAATTAGTCTTTAATGCAAACTTCCACGCACTGTTGACGTGTGGAGAAACAGTACATTTGTAAAGGTCTCCATTTGACCTGAATGGAAAGGCAGGAAAAACACCTAAAATACTGTGAAGGACTATGACATAACCCAAAGCAATGCAGCGAATGGCTGAGAAGGGGTCCTATTCTAAACAGAATTTATTTCCATGCTCCTAGATTTTGCCTGAACTGCAAATTAAGAACATACATGACAACATATGCACAGGGAAAACCCTTAGGCCCCATGCACACTGGATGCCTTGCATTATCATCCACTTTTTAACCGATGGTAACGCAGGAGCGATAAAGGAGTGGACAGTTCACACCGCTGCATTGTGTTGCCGTATGCTTTACTTTTTTTCAACACAACACTAGCTATTACAGTGAAGTATGTCCACTCAGAACATGTTACTTCACATAAACCTTGCAAGGAAAAAAAAAAGAAAGAAAGAAAAAAAAGCGAAGGAACGGAAAGGAAAATTGGAAGGTACAATCGCAGAACAACAGACCCGTCGTTGACCTGCGAGTACCTTCCAATTGTGGTGTGAATGCACCCTTAAAGAGAGGGTTTCCCCTGCGGAAGAGAGAAGTTGTTAGAGTGCATTTATATCACATCCATTTGGACTTTCCCAGGCAGATTTAAGAAAATGCAATTAACCCCACCAGTCTACCCCCTCCCCTGGGAAAGTGGAATATCCCTTTAAAGAGCAGGTTCACTTTCTCATAAATTTTGAAACAAAATGAACTTACCCACACCACCCTCCCAGCAGCTGCTACACTTACATGTCTGAAGTCCCCATCAGGTGGTGTAGTGGTCCATAAACAGGACTTTCCAGCCCCACAGTATGGAGTGCTTATTGGTCAGCACGGTCACATGACCACGCTGAACAATGAGAAGTGCTTCTTACTTCCAGGACCTGGTCCTCAACTCAGAAGCACTTCTCAGTGCTCATGTGACTGTGCTGACCAATGAGTGTTCGCCATTTGTGAGCATTATAAGCATTCCATTCTGTGGGGCTGTGAAGGTTGGCGTATGGACTGCTACACTGGCTAGCAGGGACTTCAGACATGTAAGTGTAGCGGGGGCCGGGGGAGTTGGCGGGGTGCAGTTGGCGATTTTGAACGCCATTTCCCACTATTTCTGTACCCAGTGTATTCTCTCATTAACGTGTGCTTCATTTTGTTTTTGTGAATTCATTCTGAACTATTAATACCACAGAAAACAGTCAGCCTGCATAGTAAAGATAAGCTACACGTAAATAACATAAATTGCTATCAGATGTATCAAAGCTGAAAATTGAGTTAATGAAAGCGAGGGGTACCTGACTGTTTCTGCAGCATCCACACAGACAGTTCTACATGGCTATGTGCAAAGTTGCAAGTGTCCTCTTGAAGACAACCATAGCGCATCTCATGGCGGCAGACATCCATTTGAAATCGAAGATGAAGGGGACGGATTTTGGAGTACTTTACTGTGCTTGCGTTTAACACATGCACAAGACATCTGTTCAAGAGGTTAAAAAACAAAATTATGAGTACAATAGTTTTCTCAGACTCCTTAATGAAAGCATGATCATCACTACTCCACATATAGAAATCATAATAGCTAGGTATGAATTCTGGTCATTCATTCCCATGTAGCTCTAATAATGGTTCAACCTGCTAATCTAAAATAAAGAACAGGATTTGTGTGCACAGCATAAAGCCAGTTTCTTAGAGTCCATTGAGGGGAAACAAAGTCAGTCATTTTGGGTTATACTGCTGCCTTTGGGAGGAATTGGACACTGTAAAAAAAAAAAAAAAAAAACAACTGTAGGCCAGCCCAGTATTTGCCATCCTTCTGTCAGCAGGTCTCAGGTTTGTAGCAAAACGACTCTAGACACAATGGACTTCAAGTAAAGGATCTTAAGTATGGTATACAAGGTTAGAAATTCTAACGAATGACATTGAATCCCGTACGTTTGTTCGACTTTATGATCATTAATGGGGTCAAATAAATGACCGATTTTGACCACAGGCGATGCAGATTCAGAAGGTGCCACGACCTGTAAATTTAAATAAATTTTTTTTTTTTTTTACGGTGCTGAGGATTTTATAAAGAGTGCAAAAATCCAATTTTCTTTAAATCGCCCACTGAGGGACACAAGTCATTCAACTGAGAGGGTGGGCAATGCAGGCAACAAATGCGAATATGCAAGCATAAAAAAAAAAAAAATACAACAGGACTGGGGACTGCTTGAAACTCAATGAGCTGTCTAAAGGTGCTTAAGCCAGAACATGGAATTAAATGAGGTCTGAACATCTACCTGGTAGAACTTAGAGAATGTGTGAACACAAGACCAGGCAAGTAAGCCTTGCAAATCTGGGGAACTGATGTTTGATGCAAAAAAAGCCGAAGAAGCACTCACTGATCCATTAAGGGTTCACTTTGATAAGAGCCCAATCTTTGAGACGCTAAATTTGTATGATGGTCTGTCTGATAAATCTAGGAGGTGGCAGAATGAGAAGAGACCCACCCTTATGGAAAGAATCCAGGATGAAAAAAAGGAAAATATCAGTCTTTCTGAAAACAGTGGCTGGAAGATGGCATCTCTCTGTGAGAGTCTCTGTATCTCAGAACCTGATCTTCCAACAACCATGTCATTAAAAACAGAGACCATGAAGCAGGATAGCAAAACAGGTCCTTGAGAGGGAAAATCCAGACAATCTGGAAAAGCACATAGTGTGTTTGCCTGGAGTTTTATCTTGTCAGAGAACCACATCCACCTGGGCCAATCAGGAAAAATGAGGATCACTGGAATGCCCACCGTAGAGAAGCAAACAGAAGAATTTTAGCAATTCAGTGCTCCGAGATCCAAGATGGGGTAAATGTCCCCTTTGGGTTTTAGAACTGAACAGTTTGAATAAACATCCTTTAAACCGTTCCGCCACAGGATTCTAGGGCAATGGCATTTTGATCAGGAAGACCTGAAAGAGCTAGATGGAGGAGATCTGTTAATCTGTGCAGTGAAACAGGTACACTGGAGGTGAGATATTGAGGAACCCACGCCCAAGTATCCAAGATGCAATAAGAGCAGAAAATCTCTTTAGTTGGGAGGAACAACAGGAGACTCATGCTCCTCTGGGGCAAGATCGTCCAGCAAGGACAGGAAGAGGAAACAGACAGAGTCTTAGCAGCTGGTGGATCAGAGGCCATGGGCAGATCAGATACAAAATCCACAGAGGAAGATGTGGGAGTGAGTGTGTGGCCTCTGCGGTCAGAGTCGGTAAATAACTGGGTGATTTAGGACATACAGTCTTGCATGACTTTAGCAAAAAAACATAGCTAAAAGGGCAGAGGAACCAGCCACACCAGACTGTAGGAAAGACTCTGAACACAGGATAGACTTTAGGATCAGAGGGCAACATAATTCCAGTTGCAGACAGACATCGGCCGCATCAGTGAGTGCATGGCAAGCAGCATTAGAGCAGTTAGGCTGTGAGCACCCATTAAAGAGGGACAGCAGGTGACTGAAGTCACTCTAGATGGGCATCAAGAATGGACTGAAAATCAAAGTCCCATGTGGCTCTTTGCAGGTGCAGTAGTAGGAAGATGCTTTCTCGACATTGAACCACGGGAAAGAGCATGGACCCTGTGCGCTCAACAATCCACTCAGAAGATGACATCATTGCGAAGTCCATCAGCATTCTTTTCAAAATGTTCAAAATGTGCCCAGCAACCAAGCAAATAAGGTAGCTTCCGATTCACAGCCCAATCAGCCAACTCACCGAGTGAGTCTTCAGAGACAAGTGCTGAGGCAACTACAACTGCCCTGGACCTGGAAAGCACTCCACAGCTAATATCAGAACAGGGTCTGGAAAGCACTTTATGCAGAACGCAGGGCCCAAAGGTCACTGCCACGCACCGTCCCATCCAATGGGGTTTGGATGCAGCACTTCAAAGCCAGACTGAGGGCAGATGTACTGGTTAGCTGCAATCGAAGAGACAAGCTCTAGCAGCGATGTAGAAAAGAGTTGAAAAGGAAAAAAAATGTTGGAAAAATGGAGCTAGCAAAAATAGGTTAGCCTTTTACACAACAGAGCTTAAAAAAAAAAAAAAGAAGAGTAGGAGGAAGGACATCCATCGTCCTAGGACATGAGCAATAAAATCCCCTATAGGTATCAGTATAGCCCAAAAGCAAATTAAATTATGTGTCCCTCACATTCAGTAGATGATCTATGTGAAAGAAAATCTTAAATTTTTTTAAATAATCATATTTACATTTACACAAAAGATCTCAAACTCAAAAGTATAAAAAAAACGAGACCAAAAAAAACAACTATCCATGTCTACATTGTGCAATACTTACTTGTGGTCGTTAAACCCGTGTTGTTTTGTGGGGTTTGTGCAGAACTCTGGGTTCTCTGGATTTCTCTTGCTGATAATCTGAGGTTTGCCATCAAAACAAGCCTGTGAAGGATATTTTCTTTTTAATATAAGCTTGTGTTAGGGCTTCTCACAGAATAATCCATACAAATCCATACTGCTATAAAAAAAATCTGGCATGTCATTAATAGTTCTGGCCCAGAAGGTTCCCAACCTTTGCAATTTTTCTTATCCTCTGGTATACAGCAGTGACTCTTGTGGTTCTAGTAGCAAGCATAAGGAGATGTACCTGCACTCTATGATGCTTGGGTAGCTCACAGCTCATAGTCCGTATACGCCTAACATATTTGTGCCTCTATTGCCCTATGGTGAAACTTGACAACCCACCAAATACAGAAATCTGTAATCTATAGCCGGTTTTGAATATCCACACTCTACTGTGCTTCACAGCAAACTATGCATTTGTAGACAGCATTTAGAATCGATACCATAATTTACTCACCCTGTGTGGCATGTTTTGGGGTTCCATTACCCTTCTGTTTGGACGTGCCATGTCAGCATGCTCACACTGCTGTTTGTTGGAATGCCTGAAGACTAACCACCTCAACTACGGCTGCCTAGGCTCTTGCGTCGTTATGCCCACACAGTTCGGCTGTTATTCTTTTTAAAGACTTTCACCTGTGCTGTGGCAAATGTTGATGGCTGAGCTTTCAGGCAGACATTGCACAAATTAAACTTAGGTTTAGGACCTGCCGGATGCTTGACTGGTTGGCTAAGTCAAAGGTTAGCTACAGGTGGATTTGCAGCAATCCTTGCTTGACAGACAGTGGTTCACGAGTTCTGCTTCTAACCTTTCACTCTTCCACATAAACCCTGAGAGGGTGTACCAGGAAAGTCTTTGTGGTCTTAGAGGCAGGGAAGAGTTCTTGAAATCCATTGGGCTTATTTAAGCAAGGCTGTTGGGGGAACACAAGTCATGTGGGAACACACAGTATCTGCATTGGTGAGCTGTGGTGCCATTCATTGTGAATTGCACGCCAATGCAACTAGGAAATATATGTGCACTACAACAAACTGCAGCACACAGCACCTGATTTTTTTGTGTGCGCGCGTTTCAACCCTTTCAAAATGATGGAACACCTATGCAGCACACTGCAATGCACATCACTGCAATGTGAATGCACGGTAGCAAACTGCATTGTGGTGTGAGCAAGCCTTTAGTCTACTCCTTCTTAGGGAGGCAGGACAAATGGGGACAATCATTGTTAAGATGCCTTTTGTGGAAGCAGAACAGGCATTTTAGAACTACTGCACTTTCCTGCACTGTGCATCCAGGAAAATACAGTACTGGCAATTGAGTCTTTAGCCTTTAATGTAGAGCCACAACCAAAGTATAGTAAAGAACCTATTGCAGGATTTTATTTCTATGTGACATCACCTCAGTTTTTGTCCTTGTGACTGGGGCAAAAAAGTGAAGTGAAATGTTCCCAGTGGCAAGAGGGAAAATTAAAAAACACTTTTTGGATAGAATTACAATTTAACATAGCTAGATATGTAAGAACTTGCATATCACAAGGTTTACAATGAGACAAAACCTCCCCTCACTTGCATTCCAGTACCTGGCATAAAAAAGTGAAGATGCCATTCTGTTCATGGAGCAGTCGTGCCACATTTCCTGGCTTCACCAAACCAGAGGGCTGAAAAAGCTGGTCTCTGTGAAAAGTCCCCTTCCTTTCCTCATTCCACACATCTATCTCCTCCTGGTAATATGCAAATGTACAATTATCTCCATATTTACAGTCCTGTCGGTTTTGGATATCTGCAGTAAAATAATAGCCTGATTACTCACAATCATTCCCACAAACAAGACTGAATGACACTGAACACACACTTAACCCACACAGCCTATGCACAGGAACAAAAAACGGCAATACATTTTCCTGAATTTGTAAAAATACCTTTTTTTGCAATATGGAAATAATATAAGAACAGCTCTCACCTTTAGCATTTGTTTTTGTAACATTTAAAGGATATGTGCACTTCCTTTTTCACCCCCATTTAGCATGATGCACTCCCACAATGTAAGAAGGACTGCAACTATACAGAATGACCATATGGTCTTAGTACAGATGTCCGCAAATTTGTTTGTACCCTTAGAGCTCATTGAAACAACACTTCATTCGTCCTGAAAACTGATTACATTTAAAGCAATTGTCTCATGTATACCTGCATGTCTTTGGTATGTCCTAAAGTAAAGCAAAGAAAGTATAAAATGAGATAAATTATTGCTCACTCTACAAAGATACTCTAAAATGGCCTTGACCGATTTATTGGTACCCCTAGAAAAGTTGAAAAAAATAATTGGATCATAGTTAATTTTAAACTAAAGCTGGCTATACACCTATGGGCGGAAAAAAAAAAAAAAAAAAAACAGATTCTTTAGTGTGGATGGACAAATCTTCCATTGACATGGCGCCCGAACAGTGTTGGCAGCGGATTGGTTAAAAAAATAAATTAAAAAAATTAAACTTTGCAACATGGAGGTGGCTCACCTACGGGGATTCTTTGCGCTGTCTGGCAGCAAAAGCGCAGGCATATTCCAAGATGACAATGCCAGGATTCATTGGGCTCAAATTGTCCAAGAGTGGTTCAGGGAGCATGAGACATGTTCACATATGGAATATGCCCATGCCATCAGGGAAGAAAAAAAATCTATGCATCGATGAAAAAAACAGGTCATTCAGTATATTCAAGTAGGCAGCTGACCTCATTTTTTGGGGAGATAATGTTGCTAAACCTAGAACTGACCAACTGAAGCAACCCTAGATCATAACACTGCCCCCAATGCAGGTGGTGACTTTTTTTGGCCAGGCAGTGTAGATCTCCAAGCCTAAAGAGGAGCTGGGCTTACGTCATCAGTAAGGACGTGAGTGCATCAACCACAGAGACAAAGCTGCCAGGAAAAGAGCCGCATTGGATTTCAATGAAAGAATGTATAAAAACTGTTTTGTTTTTTTTTAAAGGTTGTTATATGAACAGTATTAAAACCTAGGCAAGAAGTATTTGCCTAGGGTTTAGTTGTACTTTAAAGTAGCCTAAATCAAGCCCAACATGCATGATACAGTTTGAGGTGACCCTGCCCTTTTCTGCCAGAAACTGAAGTATATATGATTTAAAGTGGAACTAAACTAAAAAAATAAAAAAGGAATTGTGAGCAGACAGTAGCTTTACTGCAAAAGAGACATGCTATGTCACTTCTACAACAAAACAAAACAAAACCAAAAAAACTAAAAAAAACTTACCTGCCTTCTTCAAATCTGCATGTGCAGCTCAGAGTACATTCTTGACACACTTTGGTGCCAAGAATGAATGAACTCCAATGCAAATGGGCTGGAGTTATACCTTTCTGACCAATCCAAATGGCTGAATATTCCCAAACTCGAATTAAAAGCGAATTAAAAAGTTTTCCACATTCCCGTTTTAATATCTGTTCATTTCAAAACAATATTTTCTGTTCTACTACACCACGTTTCATTTAACTTTTTTCTTACAGTAGTCATACATTTACCTACAATATTAGAGTTATTGTTGCAACATAATTATTGCTGTTCCCAAACCAACGAGAACATTGTCTTCCTAACCTTTGCACAGCATGTAGGGGCCAGAAAAATCTTTTGTGGGTTTTGGACGAATTTTGAGCCATGCCTTCTTTTCTGAGTTTTTCATCCGTGCTAGTAAAATATCTTTCTTGCACTTGTGGTCTAATTTTTCCTTGTGTGTGAATTCCAGAGCTTTGGTCCCTGAAAAGAAAAATAAAACGCATAAAAATATGCAGCAAGAGCACATACAATACATTAATCAGACCTAGCAAAAACTGATACTGTTAACATTGATAATACTTCACTGACTTTCCTGAAAAACAGTTTGAAGTATATGTCCAGACAAAATTATTTTTCCCCCCAAGTTTTGGATAGAGTCGGGTAGAAACCCTGTGAGAGTTTTACTGCTACCCAGGACTCTGTCAGAGATTTTTCCTCATTTCCTGTCTTACCGACAACATAGCACACAGAAAGTGAGGGAAACTCTTCAACAGCAACACAGAAAACTTATTATTTCTTCTATCTGACCATGTTGCAGATTTTCTCTCACCTTCGGTCTTGTGAAACCATGTCAGCATGACAGAAGTGAAGGTAAATCTACCCAAAAGAAACCCTGGATAGCAGTAAAAACCCTAAAGGATTTCTAATCCTTCCGCACTCTATCCAAAACAAGAAAATTCATGTTTAAAATAGGGAGGTGCACTGAAATGGAAATGTTAAAACCAAAAATGTAAACATTTTTATTTTTTAATATTTATTTATTAGTTTATTTTTTATTTAAAAATTCTAACTTTACTTTTAGGGGCTTCGGGGAAATATTAGATATCTAAAACAAACACCTGATATTTCCCTTTTAAAATAGAAAAAGAGATGGAAGACACAAGAGTCCTCCATCTATTTTTCTGCAGCCCCAGTTATCAATGAACAGGAATCCTCTGAGTGTTCCTGTTCAATGATAACATCGTTTATTGAGACATAGTGTGCTTACGATAAACTACAATTATGAATGAAAAGGAGGTGATGCAGATCACTTCCCATTCATTTCATAATTGAGGATATAGTACACATACCATGTCCTCAACCATGAACAAACACTCAGCGATCACTGAGTATTTGTACCTTGCTCTCCTCTCCGACACACTGTCACAGGAGGCTGAACGAGCAGTGCAGGGAGGAAAGCTCAGCCTCCTGTGACAGCGCGGCCTGTCTCCGCCCACACACCGCTTTGCCGGACTGTGATAGGAGGCTGAGCGGTGTGGGAGACGCCGGCCGCTTTCAGCAGTCTCCTCCCTCAGCACTCAGCCTATCACAGTTTCTCTCCTCCCCGCTGGGACACAGAACAGCGCCCAGCGGGGAGTAAAGAAAGCAGGGATGCGCCGATGTATCGGCAGGAAAAATCGCACTTTCAGCATTATGCCAAAAGTGCCATTTTTGGCCGATATGTTTCGGCGGCCGATATATCGGTGCATCCCTAGTTTAAAATAGACCCTGTCAGCAGTTTAAAAAAAACAGCTAAAATCACCGAAAAATCATGCATTTTAAGTGCTTCCTCGCAGCGTTTTTCTTTGCACAAATGGTTTTTAATTCACTTGCAATATGCTTTACTAGAAATATTGACTTCGCCGAGAGGGGTCAATTCCCTAGCACAGCGCCCTTCTTCCTTTAACATTATAGATCTTTTCTCTTCTGAGAGTGTCTAATTACTGTCTGTGTTTGCCCAGCTTTGCCCCAACTTCCCTTATCTACCTACCTAGCTTCATATGTACCTGCCAGGGAAGAAGTGAAGGGGAACACTACTGAGGATGACTTGAGCGACAGTCTGCTAACATCACATCCAAGATGGTGGCTCCCAGCAGCAGTCTCAGTGCTTTTGGATGTCTACACAATGGAAGCTTTTAAACGTAAATAACATGCTTAAAACATGTTAAATACTAGGGATGCACAGATACTTTTCGAGTACCAGTGCAGATACTTGGCATTTTCACGAGAACTACCAGGGTGGCAGTGGTTGCAGCTGGGACCTGGCTCAGGCACCCCACCACTGTCCTGAAATCATTAGTCGATATTGTTTTAGAAATACTGTCACATGACAACAAAAATGTATCAGTACTCGTACTTGTAAGTACTCGTCAAGTACCAGTACTCGCAAAACTGGTATCTGTGCATCCCTTTATTTATATTTATAAAAACAAAATCGTACAATAAAACAGAGATGTACAAATCCCAGGAGCTCCGTGTGCTCCTTACAAATGACAGCTCCCTCCTAATTTTTGCATTTTTCTCTAGTCTAGTCTTGGAGCTCAAAAGTATCGGTTCATGTACTCGTACTTGTACCGAGTACTGTACTTGGTATCTGTGCAACTCTATTAAATACACATATAATCTTACAGAAAATTTGTTGTTAAAATGAACTGTCTAGCGACAAGGTCTCTTTAAGGCTTGACATACACTTTAAATTTTCACTATGCAAAAAAAAGGGTCTGAAAAAGTAGGAGGAGTTCTCATTGCAAACTTAAACTTGGAGTTATCCACTCACACTTTTAGGGAAGAATGGAGATCATGGTTTCTAGGGGCAAAAGTCTTTGTTTTTTTTTCCAGACAAATGAATGCATAGTGTTACAACTTAGGTAATGCATGTGCAAGGTTGTAAATTTTTACCTGTCTTCGCATAACACTGTTGACAACCTTGCTTAAATTCATAAGTCAGCATTAGTGGGCTAAGAGGCAAGGCTGGGGGAGAAACGACAGGATGGTTATGTAAAGGATCCATCTTGGGTATAAAAGCAAGATTTACAGTGTTTCCTCCATTCTGTGTAAAAAAAAACAAAAAAAATCAGAAGTCATGGTAAAAAACGAACATGTTTCTGTTTACACATAAAATAAACTTGAAAGTCATCTATTAAATGGAATTTTAATGGGAACCAATACAGAGCAAGTTGTGACCCAATCTCTCCATGGGATTAAAACTGTTTCAGTCACTACAATGCAGTCTTAAAGAGAACATGTGAGGTTATAAACTTGGGAGCTGTCATTGCAGACTTGTTATAGCTGATCATCAGACAGACAAACCATTAAAAACACAGAAACAAATATAAAAAGGAAAATTTTTTTTTTTAGCTTCCAAAAGGATTAGTATTTGTCAGTTCAGATCTGATATTTACACAGCTCAGTCACATAACTCAGCCCTGTCTGGCATGGCAGGAGACCTGATTTTTTTTCCTCTGTTGCAGTTAATTCAGGACTCCTTCCCATCCTCAGCTCAAGGTGAAGAAGCACACTGATGAGCTCTGATTTCTCAGTCCTGTTGGCATGTGCACAGTCAGCACAATAAAAAATTATGGTCTCCTGCTTCTCTCACTTTCAGTTTAAGGCTGGGTTCACCCCTGAGCGATTTTATGCTCGTTATTTGTCCTTAATTTTCTCTATTTCAAAAAAAATTTTTTTTTTTAGTTTGACTTTTAAACTTCCCGCCGGCTCCGCCCCCCTGCGACGCGGCCGCTCGCAAGAGACAGGACCCGGAATTCGGCAGCGGCGGAAGACACAGTGGTGAACGCGGACAAGATAAGACTTGTACGCTGTATTCCCGAGTGTGGCTCGGGGTTACCGCTTTGTTAACCCCGATCCACACTCGGGAATACCAATGCAGATGCGCGGCAAAACGCCCCAAAGAAGCTTCCTACGCGCTGTAAAACGCCCAGGTGGGAACCATGCCCATAGGTAATCACTGGTTTTCACATGTTGAGCGTTTTACAGCGTGTAGGAACGCGCTGTAAAACGCCCAGGTGTGAACCAGGCCTAAGTGTTGCTTTAGGCTGGGTTCACACCTGGGCGTTTTTCAGCGCTGATTGAAGTCAAAACGTGCTGAAAAACGCACTACGCCCAAACAAGTACAGGAGCTTCTTTGGGGCGTATTTCCACGCGTATCCATTAGGATACAGCCAGATAGCTCTCGTAAACGCGCGTTTCGTGGACCGCAAATCGCTGTTAAAAACGTGCGGCCCAAAACGCTATTTCAAACGCCCAGGTGGGAACTCAGCCTTACAGGGCTTACAAGGGACTGATGCAGAGTCAAACTCCGGTACTTGCACTGCTTGCATTTAAAAAATATATTCAATGATGTATTAATAAAATACAGGGCTGAATTCAAACTCCCCCCTGTGAGCTGGGGTGGGAGGGGCGCGGTGGTGCATTCAAGTCAATGGCACTGCAGCTATGCCCGCCCGTTCACAGTTGATCGCCCGCACCAGAGTATGTGGCACATCAATGCCTGCATTTCGGTCCCGTGCGATCACAAAAAAAGCGCATGCAGCATTTTTTGCAATTGCACTGGACCAGGATGCAGGCATTGTTTTGCAACATTCTCTGGTGCCCCTTCGTGCCCCAGAATGCAGGGGGGAGTTTAGTATGCAACACAGTGTGTGTGTTCATGCCATGTCCGGAGCAGATCTGCAAACGCAGTGCAATGCATTTTTGCTGCGATTTGTGTGTTTTCTTAAAATGGCCTTTCTGGTGCAGTCCAGTGCATTTGCATGAGTTTTTGATACGAGAACAAACTGTTCTGGTCTGGACCTGATCCGGACATGGTGTTAACAAGCCCTAAAGGCCAAAATCTCGGATCCTAATACTGACTTGACTACCTAGTGAGCCAATGACTTACAACAGTGGTTCTCAACCTGTGTAACCTCAGGACTCACATTTGCCCTTGTTCATTAAGTCACGACCCAAGTCGCACTGCAATGGAACACACGGTGCAGGCCTGCAAACTGTGGGTGGGAGGTGCGTTTGGGGTACCGTTCAAATGAATAGCAAACCAACACACCTCCCATACCAGAATGTACGGTAGGTGCGCTTGCGTCATACAGTTTAACGCACTGTACTAGTGTGAACGGGCCCTCAAAAACACTGACATGCATACACAAATCTCACACACACTCTTCAAAATGTTTTTAATTTTTTAAACTTTTTTTGTAAAGTCCACCCAGTCTCCTTATCTCGCTAGAACTGGAGTGGATCCTCAGCCTGGGGTCCAGTTTGGGCTGCTGTGATGGAGCTCCATCCATATGTGCATTGCTTGTACAGTTCCCTTGCATTCCCTGTAGAGATGCCAGGAGCCAGAATGCGACCTCACTCTGGTCCAGGCACCTCTACAGGACACGTGAGGGAACCGTAATCTAGGGGGAGCCTGAGGGGGCCCTCACCTAGAAAAGTGGAAGGCATGCGGCGACCCACTGTATGCGGGGTTGCGACCCACTTTTGGGTCACAACCCACCAGTTGAGAACCAAGGACTTAGAAGCATGCAGCCAATTGGGCTGCTTCACAAAAGATTTGCTTCACTCTGTGTGAATATTCATAGCAAACCAATTCTTTAAAAGCAAATTTTGGTTTACTTATTTCATCTGCAAATACCTGGGAATATGAGAACTGTATTTGTTTTTTACATTATTGAATAACTGAAGAGAATATTTACACAATTTTTTAAAGAAGAGTCTCAATTATTAGACTTAACTTTAGTAAACCATCGTACTTGTTTCAGGTCATTGATCCACTAGTAAGAATACTGCTGCTTAGATCAGAATGACAAGAAGTCTGCACTTTTAACAGGTCAGCAATGGCAGCTTTGAGGCTTCTAAATTCAACCCAAAATCTATTTCTCAGTATTTGTGGCATCATGCCTCACCATTTACAGTTTTCCTAACCAAATCATGGTTTGTAAATCTGTCGTAAAGTTTCTCTCCTGGAGATCCTGTACCCAGTAACAGGACTTCTTGATTAGCCTGCCATATGCACTCGGAGTTGGTTGCTGGGCTGCCCATCAGGTCCATCACATACGGCAGCCCAACAGCCAAATGAAAGACCTTGCACTGCAGGCTGACAACACTGGTGCTAATTGCTAGGCAGTGTCTAAACTTTGTCAACCTGCAACAGGAAGTACTGTTACTGACAGAATCTCCGGGTAAAAAAACAACAAAACATGGTTTAGAAAACTATACAAGCATGATGCCAAAACATATTGAAAAATAGATTTGGGGTTTACCAACAAGTTAATCCTGAGAGATTTATACATTTAGGGGAGGCCACCCACCTGTATACTGCTAGGAGCCCCGGGATATGAGGTTTCCGAGAAGTTCTAGAACATTAAAGCATCCCGGTGCCTTGGAAGCTCTAGGAAATAACTAACAAGGAATGGTGTGGGAAATGCAATCCTTCAGTCAGTGTGGAATCTTTCTTACTGTGCACTTCTGGATTTCTGAAAGCTAATTTTTAGGAAAGATTCATGAAAGGCCTGCATCTCTTTATATTACCTATTTCAAAGACAGCTTTGGGAAAATACATAGCTTTCTCTTACCATTATCTTTGGGCTGGGTTCACACCTTGGCGACTGTGTTTTTGGGCGTTTCTACGCACGTTTGTGAAGCGCGTTTTTACGCGAGGTATGCGCATAAATCAAGACGCACATTTTTGTGAGCAGATTCTAGCTCATTGATATTAATGGCCAGGCACACGTTAAAAGCGCGCAAAAAACAGAGCAAGTGCACATTTTCAAGCTTTTCCTATTGAGTCTATGGGGCCAAAATGAGCTGTAATATGCCAAAAAAAAACTCATGTACTTTCTCCAGGGACAGATGTTTTCCTTATTGTGACAAAACGATCAAATGTGAACAGGGCCATAGAAATGAATGGGATTTTTTGGGGGGGCATAGTCGTTAAACGTTTTTTTTTAGGGCAGAAAAAGCGCTACAAAATGCTCAGCGTGAACCAGGCCTTAACCCGGGAAAAAATGGTTGGATTATAGCTGCTTACCAGTTAGTTTTTGTTTTACCAATATACACCGGCATTCCAGATCAGCTCACAAGCACCCTCTCTAAAACAACTACAATGCTTCAAAAGACAGCAGTCAGGAACTTATTTTAGTAAGCAAAGGCTGTTTTTACTAAAATGCTGAATGGAATCCACTGAGGGACATAAGCAGTTATCCTACTGTAAGTTATCCACCTACAAGGAGACCGGACACAGGCAAACAAATAATCGTTTTTACTGTGCCGAGACAACGTTTACAAAGTTTGCTGAGAAAGACTACACAGCAGTGGCACAAGCATTTGGTGAATGCAATAACCAGCCTGCTATTGCAATTTGAAATGGCCAATAGCAGGCTTGCTATCACGCCAGCCCACTACCTGCTGTATTTACATTCAGCTGCTGTCTGCGGAATCTTGCTACTGGTGGCTGTCATTCCCTGGCTGAAGCTATTCAAGCACCATGTGCTTACAATACAATTATTTGGGGGGGGGATTATAAAAAAAAATAAAAAAAAAGTCATTTTCGGTTTCGACTTGGCAAATTCTGCTGCGGGAGGTGCGTTGCAGTATCATTCATTTCATTGGCACCCCAAACACGCCTCCCACCCACAGTGTGATCGCCTGCACTGGAGCGCATGGTATCACAATGCCGTGCGTTCCAGTGCACTGCAATTGCAAAAAACTGCACGTGCAGTTTTATTCTTAAGTAAACTTTATGTTTGTAACACTGCATTTTATTTTAAATTAACAAATGGCATTTTATATTTTTTATATGTTGAATAAATTGAAAAAATAAAAAAAATCGGCCAGCTAATTTATTATGAAAATAATCATTAATTGCAGCCCTACATATAAAACTAACAAGTACATCTACAGCAGCCTCCTCCTCAATCCTTCAGAATAGATCTCTGCACTGTGCACTGTCACCCAGGTGATTGTTTTTAATAAATGTGAAGAGCACTACAAGCACCCTGGATTGAAGCATGCTCCCTGGATTGCTTGATCATTATATCCCTGGCAAACCTGCCAGCGGCCCGATATGTGCAACCTGCAGGACACAGGAGGAGCTGAGCACCTCCTCAACCAGCTTCTTGCTGGGGCGGTCAGTTTTATTTCCATATATTTTTACAATCACCCTTTTATATTGTGCATATCACCACAATTGCTCGTATCTGTCACCCTCTATATAGTCACAATTCCCAATTTGTTCGCTGCATTTTGTAACAGTTGACTGTTGTCTCGGTAATGTGTATAATTAAAAGCCACTTAGTCATTTACATTTGTGAAGACACCACTGTTTAGCAGATTATAGAACTATAATTTAGTCCCATCATCTACGCCTGTCACTTTCCAAGCATGCCACTCATGTTTTGACACGGAAATGCACTGCCATTATTAAAACCTTGAACTTTATTTTGCATGCCTTTATTTTTCCTATGTTGTGCACTGCTATTGCGATCTTATATTTTATCTCTTTATATTTTCTTTTACCAACACGATTTAGACAGTATATATAAAACATTCAAAAGTCTCTATCTCCATTTGTGTGTGAACATTATTGGTATTTAATTTCATGAAAACTACTGAAAATAACTTTTGATACAGGTGTGTGTGCGTGTGTGCGCGCGCGTGTGTGCGTGCGTGTGTGTAAAAAAATAATAATCTGCCCAGGTGTTACTACACTAAGTATGCTACTGCAAGTAAGGGGTGATCAAACAGCAAATTGCTAACAGGCCTATAAGGCTCCATTTCACACACATCGGTTTTCGCGCGCCACAAAAACATGTACATTTTAAACATACATGCGGATTCTGCATGTTTGTGGTTACTACTATAGCTGAAACGCATGGAATCCGCCCAGAATATCACTATTGGACTACGCGGACGTCGCGCAGGTGTGAACCAGATGCATAGGAATGCATTAGGTTTTTAGGTTTAGCGTATTTAAAACCGCTATTGTTTGAACGGGGCCTAAAACCACAAAGATAGGAGGGACTTCCTGCAGCTCAAGAGGCACCTGAAGGACAAACACTGGATCTTACTGGATGAGGCAAAACCTCTTGCCAGATAGGGAAACCTGGCAGCACAACCGAAGGGAAAAGTTGGAGACCAACCTGATACTAAAGACCACAAAAACAAATGGTCACTATGTAGAGAGAAATGACCCAACATGAGAGAGATCACTGAACCATGGACTAAGTGAGAAACCGGTCAATCCAATCCCTCCAGACTGGGAAGAAAAAACTCACAGCCTGGCATACTCAACAAGGGAAGGGCACAAGCTTATTATTAGCAAACCGGTACCAGACAAGGAAGACAGGGATAATATCCTTGTAAAAGGCAGACAAAAAAATCGGCTTAAGTAAAAAGATCCTAAGCCTCTAATCACCAAACCCTTAAAGATCAAGGTCAAGGAGCCCTGAGAACCCAAGACTGGCTAAAATACAGAAAACCTTTAAAGTAGTTCTTGAGAACCAAGCATCTGATCCCATGAAGTTAGCATGACTAAATGAGTAAAGTGCATAGGAAGGACCCCAACAAGAGTAGGCAGGAGAAGTTAGAAGACCTAACCAAAAAACATTGAGACTAGAGTAGAATGTGAACAGCTGAAGAGCAACTCAGAGTAAAGGGACTAGCCTATAGACCTAAAGGGCTGCTCTCTGTACCTGGATGTCTGAAGGACAGACTACCCAAAGGCCCACAAGGACTAGCAACCATAATGCTTAATGCTGAAGACTTCTCTAAAGGGTTTAGCAAGTTTCTTGCTTCCATCCAGGCTGTGGGAGAACCAGGCTTAAAGGGTCTGGCAGCTTCCACTACTGGAGCAGGTAAAGGAGAGGTAAGAGACTTAGCCAACCTTTCCCTTGACTTCCAATGCTGAGGCAGGTTAACGTTCTGACCTCCAGTGATGTCACTGATTAGAACATTAAGGGTAGGGCTGAAGAGACGCGTCCCTCGAAGACCAAGCAAGTTAGGTGCTCAATAATGCAGCATCTGCCTTCCAGTACTGTAACCAGAGTGCTTTGCACATCTGTATGGGCAACAGACCCCTATGTATGGGCAACAGACCCATATGAGACACAAGCTTAGATACTTCCAGCAAGCCATCACAGCTGAAATGTATGGCTCCAGACATGTAGTCAACACGCTCTAGCAGAAAAGGGTCAACTGGGGCAGTGGAGAGGTCTCGTGGGACTTAACCTATTCCACCACAGTCTGACAGATTAAAGGTCACAGCTAGAAGTGGTTTCCGGTAGGTTATGGATAGAGCCACAGTGGGTATGGACCACTGTCTAACAAAACTATCCCAGAGGGGAACAAATGCAAAAAGTGCTCAGGTGGGGTCCAGGACATCTTCTTAGGGTGCTTCCAGTTCACATATTCCTTGAATACCAACTATAAGATGTACCCCACCATATTAACCTCAATATTTTATTTAATTTGATGTGATTTACGATGGTCGTATCTTGCTGCCTGATAGGAACACAGGAGTGGTGAAGGCCCTGTTAAGCTGTTGAGTTTTTGCAACACACCCCATGGTCAATTCTGTGCAATGCAAAGAATTCAGAATCAAGTATAGTTACTTTTTCACTAACCTGCGGAATTGTGCTATGGATAGAAGACAAAATGTATGGTATGCAGAGCAGACAGGATATTAAAAAGTGCCATTTCCAAAATACAAAGGGAGGGTGTCACAAGCCCATGCTCCAGGTGCTCCATAGTCATTAAACCTTTTCTTCTACCATTTGGAGAAGTCATTTAAGTTCATATTTGAAGTCAATATTTGAGAGTGAGCTGTTAACAGCCAAATATCTGCTGATTAATTGCACTGACATTCTGATGTGAACTCCCATGTACGATTTTCTATTAGGACCTCACGGGACCTTATGCAATACAATGTAAGTGTATGGAATAGAGGTCAGTTCTTCGTTGTAAACTGATGTGAGATGCAATACTACATACACATTTACACACTGGATGTGTAATAAATAACCTCCCTTTTTGATTGTGAATTGTGTTCTAGCTATGTTATAATTGAGCACTGTGGATCCTATTTAAATAAACAACTACCTAATATTTTATGCTTTATGCATTGGATTATGGTGCTTCTAAATATTGTTTTATGGCAATTTAACACAGGGCCTGATTTTTGTGCAGTGTTCCCGTTTTAAAAGACAGACCTGTATGATCTTAATTGTGAAGTTGGGGGGAAAGGGTTTTGTACGATTGTATACCATTAGGTGCTTTCTGGTAATTAATGAGTCTAGGCAATTGTTTTCTTTATAAAAGTATTCCTACGAGTGCAGGCACACAGTAGTCCTTTTTTTTGCCCCCAATTTTTGTTTGGATACCTCGAATAGTGGGTATAGTGAAAAGGACCAAGACTAGAGACAGCAGGCTGATCCTCCAAAGAGCAGTATGTAACAGTATCCTGTAAATCTAATGCAATGGCAGAAGACTGGGATTCCTCGAAAACAATCTCATCCTAAAAGAGACTTAAAGGAGCTTAGAACCTCTGCTTGTAAGCAACTGCAAGGAATTTTGCAAACTTGGCCACAAAATGTTGTGTTACTGCAGTAAAGGTTCCTGATGACAAGGAACAGGGACATTAGATGCTTCCTCCATGTTGAATGGTGGGAAAAAGCGTGGAGCAACACTTCACCCAGTAGATGTCCTTCGGTTTTACTGCATTCTGGGGTAAATCTGGCGGAAAGCAGGAAATTTAAAATGCAAAACCCTATTTAAAATGCAAATTCATTGATATGCATTGAGGCTGCACAGGGAAATGTAATAAAATTTGGGATAGATGGATGTCACTTATTAAAACTTGTTATCTCATAACATGTGGCTCCTACCTGTTGGGCTTGATGCTCTCATCTCTTCTACCCCCATTTTAACTTTTAGCACTGTAACATACTGAATTATAGGGCTGCATCTAACGATTATTTTCACAATCGATTGGTTGGCCGATTATTCTTCCGATTAATTGGATTTTTTTTTTTAAATAAAGACTATCCGTAAATTTAAAATAAAATACACAAATGGAGTGTTAGAAACAAAAAGTTTACTTCACAATAAAAGTGCATGCACAGTTTGCAGTACTGCATGTTCCCGTGCGGGCGACCGGAATGCGGGTGAGAGGCGCCATTGAAATGAATTGTACCGAAGCGCACTTCCCGCACCAAAATTGTCAGGCCAAAAGCCAAAATTACTTTTTTCACCATTTGTTTTTCAATGAGGGAAAGTTTTTTTTTTTTCTTTTACTATATTTGAAATGTTTTATATCATTTTTTTGTTGTTTTTACTTTACTGTTGTTAGGGGCTTTGGAGAAATACCAGGGGTCGAAATAGATCCCTGATATTTCTCTTTTGAAATACAAAAAAAAAAGAAGAGATTGAGGCCAAAGAGTCCTCAATCGGTGGGGGTTGAGGTTTGGGGGAGCTCTCACCACTGGGCAATGGCTGCAGCGGAGCACAGCCGGGATCGGAGGGGACACAGAGCCAATGAAACACCGGCTTCCAGCACAGAGGAGAGAAGTAGGTGATCCACACCAACTAATCGATAGTAAGCATCGTTGAGAACGATGCTCAATATCGATAAGTTGATTCAGCCCTACTGTAATATTTGCTTTTTAATTCTTCTATTTATGCTTTTGGGTTTGCCCATCAGCATGAGGTGCCTTTAATAACATAATGCTATTGAATTATGAAGAACATTGTTTTGGTTTTACACAGTTTCAATAAACTAGTTCATTATTGCAAAAAAAGAAGATGCTCAACTGATATGTACTGGCCTACCTTCTGGTTTGGATTTCCTTTCATGGATACTGGCTCCAGAGGTTTGGAATCTACACAAAGACAAAATAAAACACATCACCACAGTGACACAGAAAATTCCAAAACCTAAAAACGGGTACCTGCAGACATTATAGGGATTATGTGAAGGGAGATATCCAAGGGAACCTTTGAATTACAGGAGACACCCCTGGCCAATTGTTGCAAAACGAAAAGTCAACTGGTCTGGGTACATTGTGGTCAGATGTTTCCATGATCAAATATCTACCTTAAAGAGGACCTTTCAGAAACTAAGTTTACATAAAAATATTTCTGACATGTCATAACCAATTTCTAAGGAATACCTGTACACTTTATTTATGAAATTATCTAAGCAGCGAATCATGTAGCAGCGGCACAATGTATAAAATTATGCAGATATAGGCTGACAGTTTTAGTTGTTGGGAAGAGGAACAATGTGACCTCTGTGATGTTGACTGTGGCATTATTGTTGTTACGTGATGGGCTGGATTCAGGATTTCTTAACTGCTGATTTCTTGGGATTTTCACTTATAAAAGACTCTTTAATTTACTCAGAATGGTACAAGAAAACAAAACATCCAGCGAGTGTCAGTTCTGTGGATAGAAACGCCTCTTTGATTAAAAGGCTACAGTTACGCCAGTGACCACGCTTCACAAATATGGTGCGCAAAAAAAAAGAATCTCAGAATCCACAACCCATCAATGGGCCACAACAGCAGATGACCATGTCAGTTTTCACTTCTGTCAGCCAAGAACAGAAAGCTGAGGCTGCAGTGGACAGGTTAACCAAGACTGAACAGTTGAAGACCAATAAAATGTAGTCCGATCTGATATCAAAATTCTGTTCAGGCCCTCAAGATGGTAAGCATTAAAATGAAGGTGGGTATACACAAACATCAAAATACAACTTTATTATATTAAAAATTGCCCCAGAAAGTATCTTAGGAAGAAGTCTCACCTTGTATTATTTTTCACAGCTCAGTCACCTAACTCCCTACACAGTGTATGTTGCTTTTTATCCCATGCTACTGAGTTAAAGACTTTGACAGCTCACTCCACTTAATTCCCTACCATGATCTGCAAAGGAGGTGGCCTCTTAATTAACAGCTCTTATCTGACTGTCTCTGCACTTCCCAGACACAAGAGGTCACAGCAGAGGAAATGAGCACCCTCTAACAGGAATCAGCACAAGAACTGGAAGGGAAGCTTTGTTTTGTGTTGTGCAAGTGCAAGTGCAAAGGCAGTGACAGAAGAGCTCTCAATCAAGAGTCCAAAGTCTGTAACTTATTTTCTACTTAATACAGGAGGAATGGAATAAAAAGCAACATACACTCTGGGAGTTAGGTGACCGAGTTGTAAAAAATAATACAATGCAAGACTTTGTTCAATGCTCCTGTATACTGTTTTGTTTCTTTGTTTTCCAAGGCATATGCTCCAAGTTTATCATCCGACTTCTTTTTGGTTGTCACTATCATGCATCTGTCATGCTGTCCAATTGCCATTTGACATATAAAGTCAGCCACTACATGAAGGTAGATTTTCCCCATTAAGAATGAAGAAATGCTATACACCTTTACCTCCACTGCTAACTGGCTCAGAGTGCCTGCCAACTAACTCTTACTGGCTTTGCAGTGCAGCTCTGACACTCGGTAATGCACTCCTTGGATTTCTTTTGAGGTTACAGTGCACAACCAGAAACATTTTGGCTTTCATAACAAGCTGTTTCATTCAGTCACATTTAGAACGTGGTGGTAGCATTGGAGCTGCTTGGTGGCTGTTAAACGGCCAATCAACAGCCAAAAAAAGTGTAGAAGTTTTTAAAATTATTTCTGATAGTGGAAAACCTTTTAAAACCAAAAAGGAAAGCACAGATCCTTTACACTGAATACAAAGACTGATAAGCAACGTAGTAGAAGCATCCTTACAGAGAGATGCACTTTTCCTGTCTGCTGATGCTCTTTACATTCTGGGGAGAATTCCTCAGGAAAGGGAAGCACATCAAACCCCTCTGTAGTAATACCTATAGCACTAACATACAGAGCAGATTGGTGTCTACTGGGGCCCCATGCCCTAAAGGATAGATTTTGACCTAAAAGTAAATTAAAAACTACAGTAAATGCAAGCATCTTTGGGCATATGCTATCACATAATACAGGTTTACGGTACTGTCCAAGACCCCAGAGGTGACGTCATCCTGCCAGACACTTCGCCTCTGGTTATTCTAATTTTTTTCTTTCCCTTACCATTTACAAAAGAGTCCAGGCTGTCCAATGTCTCCCGAGTGCTATCAAATCTGTCCAGTGTATCCAAGCGTATATCAAAAGAAGGTTTTAGAGGTGCTCCAACTGGTACCACCAGAGGTTTCAGAGTGTCCAACAAGCCAAAAGAAACAGGCGGCAGGGAGGATGATGCTGTAAGGCCAGCAGGTCCCAAAGTTGACACCAATTGACTGCCAGGGGATAACACTGGTATAAGCTGCGGCATATGTTTGGTTGCCTAAAAGAATAAAAACATGATAATCAGTTCAAACATGTCCTGAATCAAACGCTGACCAAACATTAGCAGATACCATTAGACTGCCTGAAAATATTTTATTTTTTTCACTCAAGACTCACATTCTTTAGAATGTAATGTCCCCAGGCCTTTTAGTGCAAGCTTTATCACTATTCAGGATACAGATCTGCAAAAATTATCCAACACAGACAAAGACATGAATGTCTACACCAACTAAAATCCTAGATAAGCTTTAACATCCTATACCTAATGTAAAAGAAAACCCTAGAAAGTAAGAGGGACAGCGATCTCTGCCCTCCTCCTCACCTCCTGATAATCGTAGAGTGGCAGGCCTTGTGTTTCGCAACCGCGTTACAACCTGCGCTGTTGACATTTACCAAATTGCAATGCCAGTGAAGTGGAGTTCTGCCATTACTACACTGATGCGCATTACTTCACTCTCAGCCACTGCACTGGCGCCCATTAACCCAGTTGCCTATTAACCCAGCCTTCATTTGCACTTCCGAAGTCATCCAGTTGAGCCAACTGCTCACTCCTGCTCCTCCTTGGTGCCTGGATGCTCCTTACTCTCCCTTCCTGCTACCCCGGCAATTGAGATGAAGATCAGGTATCGGAAGACACCGTCTCCTGCTGAGAAGCTGGCGTGCTTCCAGTGGGCTCAAGATGATGGAGGCAGCTGCCACTTCTCCTTTATCCTCGTCTGGATCACTGGACTGCCTATGCTATGCTGTATCCTGTTAAGCTTCGTGTAACTGGTGTTGGATTTTGGGGCTCAGCGTCTCCTCCGCATTCTTTTTTTTTATGCCAGGAAAGCCCTCCTAATGGTGTGGAACCTATGAGCAGAGGGGTAGGCCCAAACTTTTTGACTGTATTTGGGGCCTTCGGGTAGCTGTTACAGACACGAATGTGGATGTATCCTGATTCTGACGTTCCTTTATGTCATTTTGTTTTACTTTATGTTTACATGTTTAATGGTATACATCAGGGCTCAAAATTTCCACTCACCCCCTTGCAATTGGCGAGTGAAAACTGCATGGGGGGCGAGTGGAAATAATTCACGGTCAAAGACTGAAGGACCGACTCCTGGACGAGTTTTTGGCGGCTTCCCGTGTGCCGTAGCTCACCTCCGTGTGCCTTGCCCATGTTAAAGATGGCCGCCGCATTATAAACCTCATTAAAGATGGCCACCGCATTATGAACCTCATTAAAGATGGCCACCGCATTATGAACCTTATTAAAGATGGCTGCCACATTACAAACCTTATTAAAGATGGCCGCCACATTACAAACCTTATTAAAGATGGCCGCCACATTATAACCCTTATTAAAGATGGCCGTCAAATTATAAACCTTATTAAAGAAGGCCGCCACATTATAAACCTCATTAAAGATGGCCGTCGCATTATGAACCTCATTAAAGATGGCCACCGCATTATAAACCTTATTAAAGATGGCCGTCAAATTATAAACCTTATTAACCCTTTCGCTGCCAAGCCCTCCGGAACATTTTTCAAATCAGCTGGCCACGCCATTTTTGCATTTTCTTCCTATTGATTTGATTTTCAGCTGCTGGGTTGCTAGCGTTGTAAAAGACCCTCCAAACCATATATTTTCTGAAAGCGCAGGCCCGGTAGAATAAAAAGATGGTGATACTAAATTTGTAGGCCCTGCGATAATTGCGCAAATGTTACTCAAATTAATATTAAACCGATAAAAATACACAATAAGGTTTTTTTTTTTTTTTACACATTTTTTATTTATTTATTTTTTTAAATCATTTTATTTTGTTTTACATTTTTTTATTTAAATTTTTTTTACATTTTATTTATTTTTTAAAATAGTAAAAATAATTTTACTATCATTGGTTTATGAATGGGGAGGAGCCTCTGTAGTGAGTGCTAGTCCCCATTCATAAATTCTTGAATGAACAGGCTGTGATGTAAATCACAGCCTGTTCATTCATAACTGGGGACACATAGTACTATGTGTCCCCAGTTATTTACAAACACCGGAGTGATCAGACGATCGCTCCGGTGTTTGCTCTGCAGATATTTAACAATCCCCCGCTCGGCCACGCTACAGAGCCGCTGTCATCCAAAAACTGACAGGATGAAAGCGGCTCCGATCACTATGCCGCTCGGCCATCCTGAATTGCGGCCAGCCGCCGCTCACTTCCCCGACCCTCCCGCCGGTGATTTTTTGTATATAATTTTGTGATTTTGTGTATATGTTTGTTATGCCTGGTGGGTTGTGCTGTGTGTGTATAATGCCCAGTGCACTGTGCTGAGTGTTTGTGTTCTGCCTTGTGTATGTATTATGCCCTGTGCCTTGCGCTGTGTGCGTATTATGCCCTGTGCCTTGCGCTGTGTGCGTATTATGCCCTGTGCCTTACGCTGTGTGCGTATTATGCCCTGTGCCTTACGCTGTGTGTAGGTGTTATGCCCTGTGCGTTGTGCTGTGTGTGTATGTTATGCTCTGTGTGCTGTGCGTATTATGCCCTGTGGTTTGTGCTGTGTGTGTGTGTGTCTTATGCCCCGTGTGTGTAATGCCCTTTGTGTGGTGCTGTTTTTGTTTGTTATGCTGTGCGTCTTATGCTCTGTGTGTGTGTGACATGTGTGTTGTGCTGTGTGTGTATGTTATGGAGTGAATTACAACTGAGTTGATGGAGCCCTGTACTTAAGTATAGAGTTGATCATTTTGGGTGAAATTCACACCATATTGAGTGTAAGAAGGGCTTACTTGTCTGTTGGGTTTATTTTTATATCTTTTTTTTTTTTAAATGGTGGAATTTAAAGGTGGGAGAGGCAATGTTAAAGGAGGGGAGGAGGGTAGGATGGGATGGGTTCAGGCAAGGGCACCTGGGGGTGAGTAACTTTTAAGGCCTGGCTAGTAGCTCAGGACCTGAAATTTTGAGCCCTGGTATACATTATTTCTATCTGTCTTATGCTGAGCATATTCTACCTAGTGCTGTTGTTATTGTACGTTATTGATTTAATTGCTTTTAAGTTACATTGCACTGACCAGGTGGCAGTCTTGCAAATCTGAAAAACCGATGTCTGATGCTCAAAAGCCCATGAAGCAGTAACTGATCTAGTGGAGTGCGCTTTGACTAAGAAAGGGAAAACCTTGCCCTTGGAGGTCAAAGCCATTAAAAGAGAACTATGGGGTAACCTTTTTTTTCCCCATAGTTCTCTTTAGGTTCACGGGAGGACATATACCAACGTCCTCCTGAGACCCAAATGTCAGTATATAGCAGGCTATTACAATACTGTTGAAATCCACCCCACTTGCTGATTGACATCAGTCTCTGTTTATCTAGAGGCAGAGCCAACTATGCCCTCCCTCCCCATCACACTCAATGAATGGGAAGCCTCAGTACAGAGGCTTCCCATTCATTCAGAAACCAATGATAGTAAAAATAATTTTACTATCATTGGTTTATGAATGGGGAGGAGCCTCTGTAGTGAGTGCTAGTCCCCATTCATAAATTCTTGAATGAACAGGCTGTGATGTAAATCACAGCCTGTTCATTCATAACTGGGGACACATAGTACTATGTGTCCCCAGTTATTTACAAACACCGGAGTGATCAGACGATCGCTCCGGTGTTTGCTCTGCAGATATTTAACAATCCCCCGCTCGGCCACGCTACAGAGCCGCTGTCATCCAAAAACTGACAGGATGAAAGCGGCTCCGATCACTATGCCGCTCGGCCATCCTGAATTGCGGCCAGCCGCCGCTCACTTCCCCGACCCTCCCGCCGGTGATTTTTTGTATATAATTTTGTGATTTTGTGTATATGTTTGTTATGCCTGGTGGGTTGTGCTGTGTGTGTATAATGCCCAGTGCACTGTGCTGAGTGTTTGTGTTCTGCCTTGTGTATGTATTATGCCCTGTGCCTTGCGCTGTGTGCGTATTATGCCCTGTGCCTTGCGCTGTGTGCGTATTATGCCCTGTGCCTTACGCTGTGTGCGTATTATGCCCTGTGCCTTACGCTGTGTGTAGGTGTTATGCCCTGTGCGTTGTGCTGTGTGTGTATGTTATGCTCTGTGTGCTGTGCGTATTATGCCCTGTGGTTTGTGCTGTGTGTGTGTGTGTCTTATGCCCCGTGTGTGTAATGCCCTTTGTGTGGTGCTGTTTTTGTTTGTTATGCTGTGCGTCTTATGCTCTGTGTGTGTGTGACATGTGTGTTGTGCTGTGTGTGTATGTTATGGAGTGAATTACAACTGAGTTGATGGAGCCCTGTACTTAAGTATAGAGTTGATCATTTTGGGTGAAATTCACACCATATTGAGTGTAAGAAGGGCTTACTTGTCTGTTGGGTTTATTTTTATATCTTTTTTTTTTTTAAATGGTGGAATTTAAAGGTGGGAGAGGCAATGTTAAAGGAGGGGAGGAGGGTAGGATGGGATGGGTTCAGGCAAGGGCACCTGGGGGTGAGTAACTTTTAAGGCCTGGCTAGTAGCTCAGGACCTGAAATTTTGAGCCCTGGTATACATTATTTCTATCTGTCTTATGCTGAGCATATTCTACCTAGTGCTGTTGTTATTGTACGTTATTGATTTAATTGCTTTTAAGTTACATTGCACTGACCAGGTGGCAGTCTTGCAAATCTGAAAAACCGATGTCTGATGCTCAAAAGCCCATGAAGCAGTAACTGATCTAGTGGAGTGCGCTTTGACTAAGAAAGGGAAAACCTTGCCCTTGGAGGTCAAAGCCATTAAAAGAGAACTATGGGGTAACCTTTTTTTTCCCCATAGTTCTCTTTAGGTTCACGGGAGGACATATACCAACGTCCTCCTGAGACCCAAATGTCAGTATATAGCAGGCTATTACAATACTGTTGAAATCCACCCCACTTGCTGATTGACATCAGTCTCTGTTTATCTAGAGGCAGAGCCAACTATGCCCTCCCTCCCCATCCCTCCAGTGAGCGTGGGAGGATCGGAGAAAGGAGGGGGGGGGAATCCCTGCGGGAAGCGGTGACTGACTGACACACTCTGCAAAGAGATGATCGGGAAGTGAGCGATCGACGGTATGTTTTCACCCACTCCCTCAACAGAGCCAACCTGTGACAGTTTTAATGTCACAAGCCGGCTCTAACTATGGGGATGAGTGCAATTCACTCGCCCCATAGTTCTCTTTTAAGTGATGCACTATCGAATCCACCCAGTGATAGTGAAACGAGAAGCAAGTTGTCCCCTATGGAATTCTTCAAAAATGACTGAGTCATTTTGAAAAGCAGCTGTAGCGAAGGAAGAAACTCAAGCAGCATGCATCACATCAGAGAGAGAAAGGATGAGTGGGCAGCCCTGTCTAAGGCCTCCCAACAAAGCTGAAAGCCTCCCCATACATTCAGACAATGCGCCACAAAAAATCGTCACTTGATAAACAAGACGTGACCAACTGTGAAGGGGCAGAGATCGTGGCTTTCGGTGTCAGGCAGGACTGTTAAGGCAAATTCTGCATATCCCCCCAAGCAATTAGCCAAATGTGCAGTACTTGTTTCCGAAAGAGAGAGAAGGGGTATGGGAGAGATAAGAAAAGGGGGGAGGGAGAGAGAAAGAGAAGAAAAAGGGTGGGAGAGGGATGTCTACCAGTCCGAATAAAAATTGTGATTTTACTAAAAAATATGAATCTTAGCTTTCCTTATAGGAGAATAGCTAATATGCAGGCTCATACCTGACCAGGTTTCTGTGCAGATCTTCTACACAATGTTATGCTGAAATTCAGGCAATACATGCAGGATAAGCCCATGGCTCATGAAGTTTTTTTCTTCTTCCAGTTGGTCAAGAAAGAAGGTCAGATATAACATATTTTGAAACAAAATTAGCAGTAGCGGACCACATAAGCTCAATGAAAAAAGAAAGAAAAACTCTGGGCAGAAAACACTGCAAGGGTTAAGTGCCCGTTTTCGTCTAGCGTCTAAAGTAACAAAGATATACTCGCCCGAACCTCGGTCCCGCCTGGCTGCTAGATTTGGCCCTGCAGCCTCTTTCACCCTCCGCTGAGTCATCACGTCCAATACAGTGTATTGGATGTAAGGACGCTGAGGTACATTCCATCACAGGAGAGGAGGGAGACAAAGGCTGTGGGGACTGGTCCAGCAGCCAGGCGGGACTGAGTTTTGGGCAAGTATATCTTTGTTATTTTAGACCCTAGATGAAAACAAGTACTTAACTCTTGCAGTGCCGGTCTAGCCCCTCTGCAAGGATTAAGTTTTCTTCAAGTTTCTGGAGTAGATCTGCCGCTGAAGTCCAAGTTTTTAAAAGCACAGTAGATGGAATGGCTATTGAGCCATTGATCTGTGTAGCATACCTAGCATACACCCTTTCCGGTTTATGGGTATTGGAGAAATGTCATGACATTGCAACTCAGCAACCTGCAGTGTGAGAGGTTTGTAGGTTGAAACAAACTGTATCCCATCTCACTCCTGACCGGAAAAAAGCCCCAAAGAAGCAGGGTGGGTGCGGCAGTGACAGCAGATGCCTCCGCAAAACACATGCAATCTTTTTATTGACTGAGGTAGTGTAGCATCTTACAGCAACATTTTGGAACCTGTGTGGTCCCTTCTTCAGGCAAACGTTGCTGTAAGATGCTACACTACCTCAGTCAATAAAAAGGTTTGTAGGTTGGGCGCCATGCGTGTCCAACCGAGAACAAGCTTTATAATCATTAGTAGGTCTAATGCATCAGGAGTTGTTTCATTTTTGTTGAATGGATAGACTCATTGTGTATATGCCAAAGACACTCTTTTCTGAGTCATAAACTGCGATATGCATATGACACCTTTGATTGTAATGGTACTATTAGACTATGTACCATATGTGTACTGGTGTCTTAAATAAAGAATACACAAAAAATATCCCTGTCAGATTTGTTGGTGCCTGTGCAATGGTACAAATGTTTCCATTTACTCCCTGTCCAAAAAAATGGATGTAAAACAAATTTACCCCAAAATAAGCAAGTTAAGATATCCCATCTATATCTGTCACATGACAAATGATCACCGCAACATTTTCCTATGTGGATACATCAATACAAAACATGACACGGGTTCCACGTGCTCCCTATGCTATCCAAAACTAAAAAAATAAAGTGTAAGCTATAGATACAGTGTACCTTTGAAATTGCTTGCTGCAAATAATATATCATCTTAAAATTATTTCCATACATTTTGCGGACAAAAGAAACTCTTACCATTTCCAATTCCAGAAAAGAGTCCAGCTCATCTCCAATTACATCACAGTCAGTAAAATAATTTACAGGGTTAGCTGCAGGGGCCATTGTAGGGGTCAATGAAGGGAGACATGCAGCAGCTCCCAAGCTGTTTTTAGGAGAGTTAATGTCAAGGGATGTTGGGAACAGAACAGACTCTGAAGGCACATCTACAAAAATATTTTGAAGAGAGGCATAAATTAAAATTAGCACAAAACATCTAAAATAAACATGAGAAGGGCTTTAGTTTACATTGTATACCTGTTCTACATTTAACATACAGCTTCACCGAAAGTGGGGCTGAACAGTTTCAATGAAATGATTCATTTGTACTTAACCCAACAATCTCTTAAAACGTACCAAATTAATAGGTCATCTTTTCAGGATGGAATTCCTATTTCCAGCAATACTGCCTGCAGCCTCCTAGCTATGAGTACTTCCCTCCTGCTCCGAAACATATGCCCCAAAAGACTGATCGCTCATTCAGTCAATGCAGAGCAGGTCACATATGTGGCCAGACACCCCCCTCTAGTGGTGACAAACATACATTGCTGGTCACTGCCTGAAGACCCTACTAGAACTTGTTGTAAACAAAATCCTAGATAGACAAAGTAAAGTTTTACTAAAAGAAAATGGAGGCAGTTGACAGGCTGCATTAAGACAAATAAAATTGCCATTCTATCTAAATGTCCTATTTAAAATATAAACCATCATGCAGGCTGGATTTTAAGAAAATCCAAAAGCACAATCTTAGATTGTATATGGGGATATCAATGTCACAGGATACATTCAGTACTCTATGCTTTTAAACTACGAAGAGTATCGGCAGTGCTCATTATATAAAAAGAGAGTAGATACAACTGACAGGATGAAAGCGGCTCCGATCACTATGCCGCTCGGCCATCCTGAATTGCGGCCAGCCGCCGCTCACTTCCCCGACCCTCCCGCCGGTGATTTTTTGTATATAATTTTGTGATTTTGTGTATATGTTTGTTATGCCTGGTGGGTTGTGCTGTGTGTGTATAATGCCCAGTGCACTGTGCTGAGTGTTTGTGTTCTGCCTTGTGTATGTATTATGCCCTGTGCCTTGCGCTGTGTGCGTATTATGCCCTGTGCCTTGCGCTGTGTGCGTATTATGCCCTGTGCCTTACGCTGTGTGCGTATTATGCCCTGTGCCTTACGCTGTGTGTAGGTGTTATGCCCTGTGCGTTGTGCTGTGTGTGTATGTTATGCTCTGTGTGCTGTGCGTATTATGCCCTGTGGTTTGTGCTGTGTGTGTGTGTGTCTTATGCCCCGTGTGTGTAATGCCCTTTGTGTGGTGCTGTTTTTGTTTGTTATGCTGTGCGTCTTATGCTCTGTGTGTGTGTGACATGTGTGTTGTGCTGTGTGTGTATGTTATGGAGTGAATTACAACTGAGTTGATGGAGCCCTGTACTTAAGTATAGAGTTGATCATTTTGGGTGAAATTCACACCATATTGAGTGTAAGAAGGGCTTACTTGTCTGTTGGGTTTATTTTTATATCTTTTTTTTTTTTAAATGGTGGAATTTAAAGGTGGGAGAGGCAATGTTAAAGGAGGGGAGGAGGGTAGGATGGGATGGGTTCAGGCAAGGGCACCTGGGGGTGAGTAACTTTTAAGGCCTGGCTAGTAGCTCAGGACCTGAAATTTTGAGCCCTGGTATACATTATTTCTATCTGTCTTATGCTGAGCATATTCTACCTAGTGCTGTTGTTATTGTACGTTATTGATTTAATTGCTTTTAAGTTACATTGCACTGACCAGGTGGCAGTCTTGCAAATCTGAAAAACCGATGTCTGATGCTCAAAAGCCCATGAAGCAGTAACTGATCTAGTGGAGTGCGCTTTGACTAAGAAAGGGAAAACCTTGCCCTTGGAGGTCAAAGCCATTAAAAGAGAACTATGGGGTAACCTTTTTTTTCCCCATAGTTCTCTTTAGGTTCACGGGAGGACATATACCAACGTCCTCCTGAGACCCAAATGTCAGTATATAGCAGGCTATTACAATACTGTTGAAATCCACCCCACTTGCTGATTGACATCAGTCTCTGTTTATCTAGAGGCAGAGCCAACTATGCCCTCCCTCCCCATCCCTCCAGTGAGCGTGGGAGGATCGGAGAAAGGAGGGGGGGGGAATCCCTGCGGGAAGCGGTGACTGACTGACACACTCTGCAAAGAGATGATCGGGAAGTGAGCGATCGACGGTATGTTTTCACCCACTCCCTCAACAGAGCCAACCTGTGACAGTTTTAATGTCACAAGCCGGCTCTAACTATGGGGATGAGTGCAATTCACTCGCCCCATAGTTCTCTTTTAAGTGATGCACTATCGAATCCACCCAGTGATAGTGAAACGAGAAGCAAGTTGTCCCCTATGGAATTCTTCAAAAATGACTGAGTCATTTTGAAAAGCAGCTGTAGCGAAGGAAGAAACTCAAGCAGCATGCATCACATCAGAGAGAGAAAGGATGAGTGGGCAGCCCTGTCTAAGGCCTCCCAACAAAGCTGAAAGCCTCCCCATACATTCAGACAATGCGCCACAAAAAATCGTCACTTGATAAACAAGACGTGACCAACTGTGAAGGGGCAGAGATCGTGGCTTTCGGTGTCAGGCAGGACTGTTAAGGCAAATTCTGCATATCCCCCCAAGCAATTAGCCAAATGTGCAGTACTTGTTTCCGAAAGAGAGAGAAGGGGTATGGGAGAGATAAGAAAAGGGGGGAGGGAGAGAGAAAGAGAAGAAAAAGGGTGGGAGAGGGATGTCTACCAGTCCGAATAAAAATTGTGATTTTACTAAAAAATATGAATCTTAGCTTTCCTTATAGGAGAATAGCTAATATGCAGGCTCATACCTGACCAGGTTTCTGTGCAGATCTTCTACACAATGTTATGCTGAAATTCAGGCAATACATGCAGGATAAGCCCATGGCTCATGAAGTTTTTTTCTTCTTCCAGTTGGTCAAGAAAGAAGGTCAGATATAACATATTTTGAAACAAAATTAGCAGTAGCGGACCACATAAGCTCAATGAAAAAAGAAAGAAAAACTCTGGGCAGAAAACACTGCAAGGGTTAAGTGCCCGTTTTCGTCTAGCGTCTAAAGTAACAAAGATATACTCGCCCGAACCTCGGTCCCGCCTGGCTGCTAGATTTGGCCCTGCAGCCTCTTTCACCCTCCGCTGAGTCATCACGTCCAATACAGTGTATTGGATGTAAGGACGCTGAGGTACATTCCATCACAGGAGAGGAGGGAGACAAAGGCTGTGGGGACTGGTCCAGCAGCCAGGCGGGACTGAGTTTTGGGCAAGTATATCTTTGTTATTTTAGACCCTAGATGAAAACAAGTACTTAACTCTTGCAGTGCCGGTCTAGCCCCTCTGCAAGGATTAAGTTTTCTTCAAGTTTCTGGAGTAGATCTGCCGCTGAAGTCCAAGTTTTTAAAAGCACAGTAGATGGAATGGCTATTGAGCCATTGATCTGTGTAGCATACCTAGCATACACCCTTTCCGGTTTATGGGTATTGGAGAAATGTCATGACATTGCAACTCAGCAACCTGCAGTGTGAGAGGTTTGTAGGTTGAAACAAACTGTATCCCATCTCACTCCTGACCGGAAAAAAGCCCCAAAGAAGCAGGGTGGGTGCGGCAGTGACAGCAGATGCCTCCGCAAAACACATGCAATCTTTTTATTGACTGAGGTAGTGTAGCATCTTACAGCAACATTTTGGAACCTGTGTGGTCCCTTCTTCAGGCAAACGTTGCTGTAAGATGCTACACTACCTCAGTCAATAAAAAGGTTTGTAGGTTGGGCGCCATGCGTGTCCAACCGAGAACAAGCTTTATAATCATTAGTAGGTCTAATGCATCAGGAGTTGTTTCATTTTTGTTGAATGGATAGACTCATTGTGTATATGCCAAAGACACTCTTTTCTGAGTCATAAACTGCGATATGCATATGACACCTTTGATTGTAATGGTACTATTAGACTATGTACCATATGTGTACTGGTGTCTTAAATAAAGAATACACAAAAAATATCCCTGTCAGATTTGTTGGTGCCTGTGCAATGGTACAAATGTTTCCATTTACTCCCTGTCCAAAAAAATGGATGTAAAACAAATTTACCCCAAAATAAGCAAGTTAAGATATCCCATCTATATCTGTCACATGACAAATGATCACCGCAACATTTTCCTATGTGGATACATCAATACAAAACATGACACGGGTTCCACGTGCTCCCTATGCTATCCAAAACTAAAAAAATAAAGTGTAAGCTATAGATACAGTGTACCTTTGAAATTGCTTGCTGCAAATAATATATCATCTTAAAATTATTTCCATACATTTTGCGGACAAAAGAAACTCTTACCATTTCCAATTCCAGAAAAGAGTCCAGCTCATCTCCAATTACATCACAGTCAGTAAAATAATTTACAGGGTTAGCTGCAGGGGCCATTGTAGGGGTCAATGAAGGGAGACATGCAGCAGCTCCCAAGCTGTTTTTAGGAGAGTTAATGTCAAGGGATGTTGGGAACAGAACAGACTCTGAAGGCACATCTACAAAAATATTTTGAAGAGAGGCATAAATTAAAATTAGCACAAAACATCTAAAATAAACATGAGAAGGGCTTTAGTTTACATTGTATACCTGTTCTACATTTAACATACAGCTTCACCGAAAGTGGGGCTGAACAGTTTCAATGAAATGATTCATTTGTACTTAACCCAACAATCTCTTAAAACGTACCAAATTAATAGGTCATCTTTTCAGGATGGAATTCCTATTTCCAGCAATACTGCCTGCAGCCTCCTAGCTATGAGTACTTCCCTCCTGCTCCGAAACATATGCCCCAAAAGACTGATCGCTCATTCAGTCAATGCAGAGCAGGTCACATATGTGGCCAGACACCCCCCTCTAGTGGTGACAAACATACATTGCTGGTCACTGCCTGAAGACCCTACTAGAACTTGTTGTAAACAAAATCCTAGATAGACAAAGTAAAGTTTTACTAAAAGAAAATGGAGGCAGTTGACAGGCTGCATTAAGACAAATAAAATTGCCATTCTATCTAAATGTCCTATTTAAAATATAAACCATCATGCAGGCTGGATTTTAAGAAAATCCAAAAGCACAATCTTAGATTGTATATGGGGATATCAATGTCACAGGATACATTCAGTACTCTATGCTTTTAAACTACGAAGAGTATCGGCAGTGCTCATTATATAAAAAGAGAGTAGATACATTATAGGTAGCTTCTGTACAAAAAAAAAAAAAAAAATTTACTCTCGGCCATAAAATGGTCTATCTGGGTGCAATGTGAGGATAAATATAGTGTACATCACATGTACGAGTGACTGCGGCCTTGTACGGCGTGGTGTGCAGTAAGGATAGCATGTTTCAGGGGTTCAGAGGTTACCCCCTTCATCAGAGCTACATAAAAGTTATGATAATTTGTTATTATATATAATAAATTATAGTTAACATGTCGGTGCAGTTGGCGTGTGTACCAAGTTGGTCACCATACTAGATACAGAAAATGTACATAGCAGATTATACGTACCCAGGTCTCCCCATGAACTTGCTACCCAGGACAAGCACTTAGAGTAGTTCTTATATGATCTTCTTGTGATGCTGATGGAGAGTCCCTCTGAACCACCAAAACATGCTGGCTCAACTTAAATGTGACTTATTAAAATTACCTTCTGGACAGATGAAATGTGTCTGGCGCTTCCCTTATCACACCCCATTCTACACAAGATGCATGCCAACGTATGGCAGTTATTCCATTGTTAGCTGCCTAAAAGGAAATGAACACCCATATACCAGACCCGAGATTTAACCGGAGCTATTAGAAACAATCCAGTGCCCAATACCCTCTGCTTAACCTTCTTGTTCAGCTTGTCAGTGCTGGACAGTATGACCCTACCTATAATAAATCAGTGTGGGAATAACGGCATATTGTGGACAAAGGGAATAGAGATCTTGTATCACTTTTTGAACTAAGAGACGCATTTAGCTTGCCTCAATGTGTTCTACAGGTACTGCATATAGGACAATAAGCCCAGACGCTAACTGGGTTTTTCGTTTTCTCCATTGTTATACCCTTTGAGGAGCTTTGAATAGAATTTGGTTCAATTCAACTTAAATTTGAATACCTTTTCCTCCTCCAAGCATAAAAATTAGCAGAGGTGGAAAGGAAAACTACAGAGAGATAAGTATGCTGGAGATGCATTTGGTCACAAGCCAGTAAAAAGTCAATGCCAAAATATGTTCTAGAAGAACCAATAGTTTATTCCAAAGTACCACATCCAACATTTTCATTTCCTGTTCTCCCACATTCCAATATCTGTTAGTGGAGATGGGAAAATCCAATGGTGAAACCCTTATTCATATCTAATGGCAAAAGCCCATTAGAAACAACTACAACATTGCTGACCAGCTAATACCATAGAGGCCAGTTGCCATTTAGACAGCTAAATATATGAAGGTTGCAATATCACACATTCAGCATCAAGATTACAATCACTTTACTAAGTGCATGTGATAAGCCAACCTACTGGTACCCAAGAATGGATGACAATGATAACAATAACAAAATTAAGGATGTAATGGCAGTTTCTCTTAGTACACGTTACTCTCGTTTCCTCTAGAGGTCTATAGGTTACCTAAAGTCAAAACACAATTATGTTGCGGCTGTGCTCATCATTACTCTAGCTTATGCCAATACTACAAAATAAGTAACTTGCCTGTATAAATGTCATCAACAGTTCCCATACCATTGAAAGCCTAAAAATAAAGAATAATAAAGTAAGACAACTCTATTGTATTATGGTTTAAATAAGGTTACAGGTTGATGTATACAGCTCTATGGGTCCAATGACAGCATGACCACTATATGCATTAGCAGGCATTTTGCAATAGAAATAAAAGTGTAGCGGAGGGTATAGACCGGTAGACACGGAGACTGATTTACTACAACAATAGAGGTGGCTCACTTTGTAAACATTAGTGAATAAGGTAAAGCTGTGTTTACTTTGAATATCCAATGATGTGCTAAAAAACATATTTTTTAAATTTCCCTTGCACATGATAGGGTGTTCTAAGTGAACACAGTTTCACCTCATTAAATCAATATTTTCTCTGCAATGTAAACAGACCCTACTCCTAAATTAACCCAACTGAGTTTTTCGGGAAGCCGTATAGCCACTGGGCCACTTCAACACTATAGCGGTCAGTCTTTACGTGCCGCTACGGCCATCACGATAAAGCCTTTCTCCATTCCACCAAAAGCTTCAGTGGTTGCTCAGACATACACTTTAAAAGGTTATAGAAACCCTGGACTCGCCTTATATGTTCCCTATTGGTCTGTTAACTGCAGAATTGAAATGTATTTGTTTTATCTGTTCAATAATCGCAACAAAATACCAGTTGATCATGTCAGAAATCTCTTCAGCTAGAAAACTTTGTATGCTGTAGTCTTTATCAGTTACATTGTTACCAGTTGCCTCCGAGAACTAAAGAACCCCTCTTCTCTAGTTATGAAGGAGAGGAGAGAGGAGGTTTCTGTAGTCCTGTCTTAGGGTAATAACGCGGCTTCCTCATAGATACAGCACAGTGAGTGAATGTTGTCACTAGGGATGCACCGATATATCGGCCACCGAAACATATCGACCGAAAATGGCACTTTGGCATAATGCCGAAAGTGCCATTTTCCTGCCGATACATCGGCGCATCCGTGATTTCTTTCTTCCCCGCTGGGCACTGCTCTATGTCCCAGCGTGGAGAAGAGAAAGTGACAGCCGGCCGAGCGCTGCGGTGGAGAGCGCTGTGAGCGGCCGGCGTCTCCTCCCACACCGCTCTGCCGCCTATCACAGTCCGGGAGAGTGGTGTGGGGGCGGAGACAGCGCTGTCACAGGAGGCTGGGCTTGCCTCTCTACACCGCTCGATCAGCCTCCTGTGACAGCGTGTCAGAGAGAAGAGCAAGGTACACACACTCAGTGATCAGTGATCGCTGAGTGTGTGTACACAATTGAGAATATGGTATCCTAACTATAGCCTCAATTATGAATGAATGGGAGTGATCTACATCACCATCATTAATTCATAATTGTAGTTATAGTAAACAATGTTCTCATGTTATCAATGAACAGGAACACTCAGACACCCTAGGACGGGGGTGTGGTACTGACAGAGTCACACAGAAAATAAAGGGGAAAAAAAATATAGCAAAAAGAAAACTAATGCAGCCACCACATTTAAGGACGGCTAAGCTGTAATATATTACTTCTCTGTTCTTGGCTTTAGCTACGCTTTAATTTCCATCCACAAATGGTTGGTAAATTGACAAACCATAACAAAAAAAAAGGAGGAAGTGAAACTAAAATCGACACTCCAGGTCAAACAAAAACCTAGACCTAATGCAAAAAAAGGCAAGACACATTTTATGCAAGATCCTTTATTCGGATCTAAATACAAAAGAAAAGAATTGAAAAAGTAACTGTAAAAGTAGCATTACCTTACTGTCAGCAGACACAGATATTCCGTTGTTTAGTAAACCAAATTTCTCTAGTTCTTGCTGTAGGGGTGGAAAAAAAAAATTGCTTCAGTGGAATGCTACTTAAAATAAATAAAATATATATTTATTAGGAGGTAGAGTTTTTTTTTGGCAGAGACTTTGCATGTTATTATTTCTCTTCTGCCAAATAACTCTTTCTTCCTGCTCCTAGCAGATTTTTTTTCTAGTGTACACTGCCTGCGGCGCACGCACAGTGCCAAGAATGGTGCTTGGTGTTGGCACAATGTAACATCAGCACTAATGCACAGAAAAGACAGTATCTGTGGCCACCCTATAGCCAAAAGAGGAGGGACACGGATGAAGCAGCGCAGAAAATGTCAGTGGAGGTTTGTGAATTTTGTATTCTTGGACAGCGCTGCATGGTAAAATCAGTTAGAGTAAAAGTGATCGTGCCAACATGATTACATTCTCTAAACTATTATAAAAAAAATAGAAACTTCAGAGCCAGGGTGAACCCACACAGTCGTAAGCTTCTAGGGGGCCATCTCCTGTATTGAAAGACAGCCCTATAGAGGGGTATGAAGATCAACTGCGCTAGGGAAAAGAAGATTTGAGGAGGATCCCTGAAGGCCATGTCCATGTGATTTGGGAAAGTATGCATTGGGGCATGCTGGTGGCCTTCTGTAGGTTAGTGAGGTAGGCAAAAAGAAAAGATAACTGTACTTTCCCTAAATGTAATTTTCCACAAACCACACATATGCCAAACTATTCTACTATCTGGCATATTAGCAGTGGCGGAACTACCGCCGGGGCACTGGGGCCGAAGGCTGTGGGGTCCGGTCCTGGGCACCCCCACAGCCTTAGTGGGGTCCGGTCCTGCAATATGGGGCAGTGTGCGGTCCTCAGTGAGGGGGCGGGTCCTGTGACTCACCTCCCCTCCCGGCAGTGTCCACAGCAGCCGATTGGTCCTGAAATGTCACTTCTATCCGACTTTTGAGTACGGTGAAATGTGAGATTGCAGTCCGAGAGAAGTGACATTTCAGGACCGATCAGTTCTCCTGCACATATGATTTGCGATGTCGATCTGCCCTGGAACAGCTGGGAAAGCGCTGGAATTCTTCACCTATTGGCGGTCACACATTCCACCGCCGAAAAACTGGGCGGGATTACGTTAAAATGTGTGACCGCGTCAGCGGTCACACATTCTAACGTAGTCACAACCTTTGATAGAACACCGCCGTCAGGGGGGTATGGCCGGTACCCATGTGAGGGGGCTGGGGGGCCTCTTACATGGGTATCAACTGTACCGGGGCGGCATAGCAGAGGTGACAGGGGAGGGGGTGGAGGAGTGTGATAAAATCTTGCACCAGGGCCCTTTGGTTATTAGGTCCGCCACTGTATATTAGGGCAACTATAAATGGTGTCCTTCAAGAAACTGCTGGTATTTCATTATTAAAAGAAAGCTTTTGTTAGGGTCCTGAAGTTCCCAAATTAAACAATGTTTTTTTTACTTAAGAGACTTCACTTCAGAACAAAGAAACACTACAGCAGTGTCACATACTTACCTGAGGTCTCTTGTATGCTCTACGTTGCCTTAGCCCCAGTTTTTGCACTAGCTCCTGTGCAAGTTCTGTAACACTCTCATCCTGAGAAAGAAAGCAGAGTTGTGGGTTAGCTTCCAGCCAGAGACAGGCAGCAATATCCTGCTTTGTTCCAGTATACCTGCACTAGAGCCAGTATTCTGTGACTGATGCAATTATAGGCCTCTTGGTGCTTTCCAAGCTTGTCCAGTGTTTTAGCTTTACGATATAAAGCCCTCATGTTCTCCTTGTCAAGACTCAGAGCGCTTTCACTGTCTTCTAAAGACTTCTCAAACAGACCCTGGAAGAACAGATCAAGAATAATTAGCGTCTTCCTTATTATCACAGAGTGTGTGTGACTGTATAACATGCACAGGGATATTCTCCCAATGTAGACCGAACACTCCTGAACAATATGAACAAAAAAAATATATATATCACAGGTGTACAACTTAAAACAGCGCAAGGGCCACATATGCATTTACAGGTCCACTGGGAGGGCCACATCTTGGTCAACACCTCTTCCATTCCCCTTTCAGGTTGTACAAATTTCCAGAGGCCCGTGCATGGTAGCAAAAGCATCGAGCATGAAATGGCAATATGCACATGTTGGGTATAACCCGGTGGTAACCCAGGAGGTAGAACAATAATTTTAGGATAATATTTTAGTTTAACTCCAGAGGAGCTGTAACAGTTTTTACTGATTGGCCTATTCATCTTCCTTTTTTCACCATTTGATAAATACACAATATTATGAACCTAGAAATATTCATTATTAATTCAAGGCCGACAATCTCTTTTTTTAATCAAGACACTCACAGCAGTACTATAATATATTAATATCCTCGGAGGTTGGTTGGCAAATTACAGCCCTTGTACTGGAAAATGCTTGAACTCTAAACTTTATACACATTTATCAACCATACAGTGCCAATGTATATAATCAAAAGCCACACATATTTTGGGTCCCTGTATGCAGGATAAAAAAAACATGAATTACTATAAAAATATACTTTATATGTAAAGAACATTTACGGGGAGTGGGGGCAATCTCACAATTGTTGTGCTGTTTTGTTTGGGGAAGGGGGGGGGGGCAGATATCGGACCACGCAGTCAATGGCTCTGTCCGGCGTGTTGCCCAGCTCACTAACATCACTGATTGCGAGGAGCTCAGTGGAGCGCCAGCCAGAGCGTTCAGCTCAGCTCCTGGCAAAAGAGGACGTCAGTGAGCTTAGCTGGAGGTACACAAATTGCCACAGGTTGCCAAGAGCTCTTAGCAAACTTGGATGCTGTGCAGCAATGTGAATAGTGCAAGCGAGCTCTTACAGGTGTTGTCCCTTGCCTAGTCTGTGAATAGACAGTGAACAGAGATGCAGCAGAATGATTAGCGCATTTCTTTCAATCTGCTCTTTTCTTTCCATCTGTATATATGTCCAGTGTTAGTAAATGAACACTGCACCGCAAGTGACTGACTCCATGTGCTGCTTCTCCCTTTTTCACTCTGAGCTCTGCTGTACAGGGACCTCAAGAGGCTTGTAATAAACCAAAATTAAGGTACCAACACTCTAAGCCTCCCTACCACAAAGTCTTCCCCCTCTCAACCAACATATACATACACACCTATTAAGGTAAGGGTGTGTATGTACGTACAGACACACACTTGCATTTATCGGATGTCTTTGGCCCCGTAACGTGACTCACAGGGTGCTCCTTTTCTTCGACTCTCATCTGATCAGTGGGCTGTGTCGAATCACAATGCTCATGAATCATGATGATGTCAGAGGCACTCCCTGCACCACTGTATAGGAGTGCAGGGCACCATGGTAAGGCAGCCTCGGGAATCAGGTTCAGGACACCCTTTATTCAAAGAAGGTTGAATGATGCGCTGTGAAGAGGATGAGCACCAGAGTGCACAATAGAATAAAGAACATGGAAGTGCTAAGGAATCTAGAATGGACAATCAGATGAGCAGAGGATGGAGCATCTCATATCTAGTCTTCCCCTGCAGTACACAGTGGAGGCATAATTCTAAAACATACAAAAGCAATCTGACATTTCTAGAGCAATATTTCTCAACATGACCTTACTCACCATGGAATAATAGCAGCAGGATCTGTTCACAAACAAGTTGCATACCAGCTGCTGAGAAAGGACAAGTTCTTCGGATTCTGCATAGTCTGCCACTGTCAGTCCTTCTGTATACTGCCCCAGTGCTCCTTTCACCTCACCATCACGGTACAGGTCGTTGCCTTCCCTATACAAGTTCTCAACCAGCTCCTGAAGGAAACACTAAAGGGAAGACAAACATAAAACATTATTAAAATGCAATCGAGCTTTCATTTCAGTGGTTGTGTGAGTATGTCAGTGTTTTTGAAGGTCTTTTCACACTAGTACAGTGCAATAATCGCAGAGTCCTGTGCGTTTAAAGCACTGTACCATGCAATCACACCTACTGTGCGTTCTGGTGTGGGAGGTGTGTTACGTTGCCATTCATTTGAATGGCACCCCAAACGCACCTCCCACCCACAGTTCAATTGCAGTGTGACTTGGGGTGCGACTTAATGACCAAGGACAAATGTGGGTCCTGAGGTTACACAGGTTGAGAACCACTGGTTTAGAGCATCGGTTCTCACCCTTTGTAACCTCAGGACCCACATTTGTCCTTGGTCATTATGTCATGACCCAAGTCGCACTGCAATGGAATGCACGGCATTGCTGTACCGCGCGTTCCGAACCGTCGGTGGGAATGAATGGCAATGCAACACACCTCCCACACCAGACTGCGTGGTAGGTGCGATTGCGTGGTACAGTGCGTTAATCGCACGGGATTGTGCGATTTAACACACTGTACTAGTGTGAACGGTCCCTCAAAAACATTGACAGACACAACCACAGACAGAATCTCACAGACAGACACTCTCACACATACACTTCCCCAAATATTACGGGGTCGCGACCCACTTTTGGGTCACGACCCACCAGTTGAGAACCAAGGGTTTAGAGCATGTAATCATGTTAGCAAGATCATTTTTACTCTGATTTTACCATGTAGCGCTGTACCATGAATTCAAAGTTCACAAATCATCAATCTGCAAGAAGTACAAATAATGGCCTCTCATTTCTGATCTATCCTCCTTCAAATGTCAACATCTTCCAATGGTGTCAATACATTTCTAGTCACAGATTCAGAAAAAACACAAAAATCAGGAGGCTGACCTCTCTAACTTCAATAAGCATATATGCTTTTTCCCCATTTAGAAAATCAGTCTGAGACTAAAAGACAGCCAGGGAACTGGCCATTTCAGAAGAAGGTCAACTATGACAGCATCTGTATGTCTCTCAGTCAAGGTTTTCTTTAAAAGAGAAGTGCTGTAGATGAATTTGTCTGTAAAGAATCATGGCCAAACCATCCAGAGATTGTCATTACTTTGACACAGGCACTAGGCAAAAGGCCAGACCATGTCTGCAGCTCATTCTAATAAGTCCCGGAGATGATAAACATGGATTCAGCTTTGGATAGTAAACAGGATAATTACTGTACAGAGGGAAAGTGTTCTAAAATGATTTTGCTGCAAAGGCTTATAGCAAGTGAAGAATCCTGCATAAGAACAGAAACCAAAAGACACTATAACATTTTTAGCCAGAATTTGCTTTACCGTGTGCCAAGCAAACTACTTGTCTCTGGGGGTTGACTACCCTGACCTCATGACTAAGCCCACCAAATGCTAGTACACTGTCCAATAAGACTACCTAAATGCCCTGTAGGGGTAGCCCTAATGGAAGGGGGAATGGGAGTTGGCGGGGCTTAGCCCTGAACTCAGGTCACAGTAATTTTGTGAAACTAGGTTTAAGTGGCCAAAGAAAGTTTTCCAGCTAGTTCAAGTAGTATTAAGGTCTGGGCGTTTTTGACCTTAATGCATTCTCTGCATTAGGGTAAAAACAGCCCAGCACCTTTTTTCTACCCAAGTCCCCCCCACCCCCAGTCTCCCCCACACTTAATGTCAGCTGCGCTCTTCCCCGCCGCCGGTCCCGAAGCGATCCTCCTTCCGGGTTGTGGGGGGAGGATACTGACGGCAGAGGAGCCATAGGCTCCTTCTGCCATCAATCAAAAAGGGAAGGGGCGTGGCCTGCCACAGGGCTGTGTGTGTCTAGGGACACACACAGCCGCTGCGGGCACGAGTGCCTCCATTAGAACGATGGGGGCACCCGCGCAGGAAGCGGGGGGAAGAGCATGGCGGGGACACACTAGAAAACAAGGAATGAAGAACTTTTAAAGAAAAAAAAAGCAACATCCTCCAGCAAAGGAGCGTCTCCTTAACCTCCTTGGCGGTAATCCCGAGGGTGGCTCGGGGTTAATTTTCAGTACCATAAGCGGTAACCCCCGAGCCACACGCGGGATTACAGCGTATCGTTACTTACCTTGTCCCTCGAGCCGCGCTGTGTCCTCCGGCCGATGCCGGCATCAGTCTTCCGGGTTCCGTCCCTTGCGAGCGTCTGCTTTGCAAGGGGGCGGAAACGGCAGGAATTTTAAAAGTAAAAATAACGGGGGGGAAAAAAAACAATAGCGAAAAAAATAGAACGAAAAAAAAATGAAATAAATCAGACCGCCAGGGAGGTCAAAGGAGAAATAAAAAAAAAAAATGGCTTTAATATCACTTTAATAGCAGGCATCTTCTGCTGTCTGCTTTTCAGTAGGACTTTTTGTTTTAATGTCTTAAGAAATATATAGCAATTTAGGTTTTGCATATATTAACTTAATGACTAAAAAAATGCATTTTAATGTTTATATTCTCTTGTTCAACCAACAGGTGGAGCTTCAGACTTCTGAAAAAATAGAAAATTGCTTACTCACTGTAGATGTCTGAGTTCATCAGAGGGACACAACTAATTAAAAAGCTGTGTGGGTTTACATCACTGCCTCCAAGAACAGGAAGCTTGGTGTAAAAAATAACTATTTGCCCTATTGTTCAACAAGTTTATTCAATAGACAGGTTTGACACCACTGGCAGTACTCAGGTAGAAAAACCACCAAGAAAAACAAACTAGATAACTAGGTGTGCCCAAGCCCTTAAAGTGACACTGAACTCAGGAGTTAAATCCTAAAAATACATTTAACCACTTAACCCAAAATCTGGATCAGCTTCTCTCTTTCATTTTCAAATCTTAACTGACCAAACTGAAGAGAGAAGCTGATTGGTTGCAATGCACAACTGCTCCAATTTTTGTCTGCTCCAGTTTTGATAAATTCCCCCCACATGTTTACACTCCCTTCCTGTCCAGGCCATTTTTCAGTATACAGCGCTGCGGTACTTTGACTGACATGCAACGCTGTACTGAACTACATTTTATTTTATACACTTACCTAGGAAATACTCAGCCAGCTTCCAGGAAGGTGGTCTGGAGTGCTGTAGCCTTGAGGGAATACTGCGACAGGTACTCGAGAACCACTCGAGCTGGCACTAAAGGATGTGCAATCCTTTAGTGCCAGCACTCAAAGGCATTGGCATTGCTAACTATCAGGCAGGGTTGTCATAGTCGATTGTTTTATAGAATTTTATCAAGGATCTGCATGTGCTCAATGGCTGGAGTGGGGAGACTACAAAAAAAAAAAAAAAACTTTTTTTCTGGAAGAGAGGAGGTTTCAATCCCTTAGGTTACTATTTTTTGTTGCAACTAGTCTCCTCCTCCTGCAAGTGGCAATATAAACCCTCACATCCATTAAAATGAACTGTGTCCCTCAATGAACTATAAAAAGAAAATACTTATTTTACAGACCTCAATAGTTTAAGCTGTAAATTACACATAGACCTGAATCAGTCAGGGCAGTGCTTCATCGTAGTGATAAAGAAAGACGGCCCACATTATAGGTATAGTAGGGTTTTTTGTTTTTAATATGCACTTCTCTTTAAACAGAACTAACCCCTAACTATATATCCTTTTCGCCTGCACACAGCGCCATCCTATGCTCTATTTAGTTCTGCAGTTGTCCATAATGCTTCAAAATGTGATCAGCTATGACACCAGCCATTTAAGAGCTTAAAAGCTTGGATGGGAGGCGACGCGACATAAGCACACTGGCAACTTTAACAGTTATCACCTACGGCATGCCTTCCGCTTTAAGGCCGGGTTCACACTTTTGCAGTGCAATAACACAAAGCATGTTGACATGCATTACTTCACACTAAAACATACCAAAAATGGTGCACGTACATTTTTTGAAAGGCAGCGCACCACTATGCACAATAGTGCTTTACCGTACTTTATGGCATATTAAAACACAGGTGTGAGGGTAAGTTGTAGTGAGGTGCCATTAAGAACAGATGGCACCCAACTTGCAACATATGTGTTTTCATGCATTGCAGTACTGAGCGCATTCCCACAGCGCAATGGTGTGAACCCAATCTTGAGCATGTACAAACACATTAAGATCATACCATTTCTAAAGTTGGTACATATGCAATGCATGAAAGAAGGTATTTACAAAAGAAAAGTATTTAAAATAAAAAAAGGTTTGTGGAATTATTTTTAACTAATTTTACCTTGTACAACTCTTGATTCTCAAAAGGTATGGTGGACCTGTAAAAATTAATGAGAACATTGTAACAGCAGGAAATAAACTTCCAATACAAAATGTAAAGACCAGAGATAAACTCACTGAATAAACTGCAAGCCCTTTTCAATATCGTCTCTTCTTTTTTGCTGCTCCATAGAAATGCCTGCTAGAAAACATGCAAATGCAAGAGTGAGAAAATGAAAACTGCAATTTGCATGACTATTTCAGCTCTCCCAGAAATTTGATTAACCTAGAATAAGCTAAACTACTGGGTATGGGAAAAACATTCTGCCAGCAATGGTATGTCAAGGTCTTAGGCCCATGTATCATCAACTTCACAGATAAATGTGAAGCACACCTGCATGTTTTTGTATTAACCGATTCACTGTACATGAAACTGCTTACCAGACCACACAAATCAACCCCTTCATGACCAGAGGTCAAAGCCTAAATACTCGGGCATTAAGGGATACTTTACTAGCATCACATCTTTACCTCCCTTTTATACATTTGAAGATTATGTTTATATTGTTTTACAGCTGTATGCCATTAACTCTTCAGCTGTTAGGACAATTTCCATTTTTCCCAAAAGCTAAAATGAACACTATATTGTATCTATAAATATTGCACCTGTAGGAGAAAAAAAAAAAAAGACAGTAGTCCTGATTTTGTAGATCTCGTGCTACTGCGATCATGTTGAACATTTATGTACAAAGCTGCTTACTTTGCTGTCCTGGCTTTGTATATGTTGGAACATGTGTCTTCAGATATTTTCTTGTACTGTCACAGCTATTCTACCAGCCATGCCCACATTAACATTGACCAACATGTAAGAAAAATTCTGACCTTGCCAACGTTGTGTTGATATTGTAAGTGATAATATTTAAAAGAGAACTTTTGGGAGCATAAAATATACTCTTCCCAATAGTTTGAGCTGGTTTGTAACACATTGGCTCTAGAGATCGAAAGCTCAGCGATCACAAACCGCTGATCGATCAGCTCATGGCTTCTCCCTGCAGAGAGCTGTGATCGTCAGTGACCGCACTCTGCAGGAATTTCCCCCTCTCCTCTCTCTGTTCCTCAAGCGCTCATGGGAGCGACAGAGAAAGGGAGAGGTAGAGCTAGCTGTCAAACAGCGGAGTGGACACTGACAATAATGTCGGGCTCTTTCCCTTCTGCAGTGTGGCTCTGCACTGTGAGCCTATAGCAGTAGCCCACTATTTGCTGAGTTTGGGTCACAGGAGGATATTAGTAAATATCCTCCTGTGACCCAAAAGAAGGTTTGGCTTTAGTTCTCTTTTGATTCTCAAACATTGTAACGCACTGGCAGAAACAAATATTAGCATCAATATGCAGACTAACAAAGAAAAAAAGAATCAGGAGAAAGTTGATTACAGGAACTAACAAGGAAGAAAAAAAAATACAGAGTCTTCCTGATAGAGACAGAATTTGTCTCCACGCTTGTTAGAATTAATGATTCTAATGCACTAGAGAAACAAGATGCTTGTAATGTTATCTTACCTCCCCAAACTGCATCATATGTTGCATCTGATAGCTTGGTAACTGGAAACTTAAATCTATCTTGAGTTCCAAAATTCATGATAGGATTTGGGTTAGTAAACTGAGTAACAAAGTTGTCTCTGCTTTGAAGATGATTTACTAGCCTGTCGTTTCCAGTTATAACACTTTGGTGGCTCTTATCACTTTTATTTGTCATCAGTTCCCTTGCAGGTGAAGAAACCTTTGCTGAGGGAAGTGAATCTTTTGAAGGTAGGACTACTTTCATCATTGAAGGTGGCAGTACATTTAGCTGTCCCTTTGTTTCCAAGGAAGCTTCCTTTCCAGATAGCAAAACCTTGGTTTCTGGAGGTAGGTCCTTTACAGCTGTTAGCAACGTTGCTGCTGGCAGAACCTTTGATGGTAGAGGAAGCTGCTTCCTGGCTGGAGGCTTGTCTTTTGAAGAAGGTGGCTCCCTTGTAGATGCCAGGCTCTTTTCCAACAAAGAAAGTTCCTTTGTAGCCAATTGCACATTTGTTGATAGTGGAAGTTCCTTTGCAACAAGTGGTGGTTCCTTCACCTGTGAAGGTTTCATTCCACCCAGCAACTTTTTGGTTTGCTTAAACGGCTCCATTGCAGATGGCAACAATACTTCTTTTGATGATAGCTCCTTTGCAGAACAAAGCACTTTTGTTTCTGGAAGCTGTTCTGGTGGCCCCTTTTCAAGTACAGGGGGGTCCTTTGAAGATGTGGTCTTATCTGCAGATGTTTTTGAAGGTGCCGAGCTCCCCTTTTCTGGTGGTTGCACATCATTCTTAGCTGGTGGGTCTACTTCTGTAGCTGGGAGTTCTTGGTGACCGTCTACTGCTGGAGCAACCATGATCCAATACCCCAAAGGACAATCATCACAACGGATAAGGGTTGGGCAAGTCTTGGCATCAATTTTCCCTTCGGCTTGTATAAGCAGAGACTGGCAAATACTATCATCAGATTTCACAGCATCAATAATTTCTACAAGGCCCCAATTCAACGCTCTAGCCATAATCGAGCATATGACCCCATCAGGCATGTCTGCAGGAACGCAGCTAATGAAAACAGTTCTTTCGGGATCTGCATCCTTCCGTAAACACCATTTAAATGCTTCTAGTTCGACACCCTCTTCTAGCAAATCACTCAATATATTTAATACTTCTTCTGCAGACGTATCTTCGGTCTTCAGGCCACGAGATCGCTTTTTCTTTGCAGACCTTTTAGAGGACATTTTATCACCACAACTTAGATCACTGTCTAGAATCAGACCTTTCCATTAGTTCTTGTGATGGGAGATCAAAACTAGGAAGTTGTGATCATTGATACGTCAGCACAGTCTGTTAAGGTGAAAGCTGAAAAAGTGGTAGCAATCCCTTTCTCCCGATTCCCTTAGGACTCTGAAGTCAGATTCATCCAAAACATATAGCAATGCTTCACTATTACTTTCGATGTACTTACACCGTCCCCGGTCTGTTTTCAGGATCAAATCATTACAGCGCCGGCTTCTCTAAACCCTAATACGAAGCTAACAGTAAAGAAGCGAGTAATGACGATTTCGATTTAAGGCTAGAAAATACATGAATACAACCCCCCATCTATCAGCCATTCGTATAGCGCTACACGAACTACAAGCACACTCAACTAACTCGTAGCGGAAACAGTCCTCAGCCAGAGACATACTGCTCAACCGCTAGAGGACAAACTATCATCGCCTAACCTAAGACTCCATCCAGCGCCATTTTATTAAAGCATTTCCTATATAGCCTATGAATTTCGGTCTCCGGACCTACAGTCAAAGCAAAAGAAACTCAAGAGAAGACAGATGTCACAGCAAATTACTTACATCTAGATTTCTAGTGTTAAAAATGACTAGGACTAAAGCTGTTCCTAGCTGACAGCACAGGAAATAAACTCAAACTCCGCCTTTATTAGCAGAGCGATCTACCTAGCAACAACCAATTAACCCCGAACGTTCCAAGCTTTGCTGAAGATCAACTAAATAAAAGCGTGCAAAACGTGATCGTTCAGTGCAGCTGAATACACTATACAATCTAGTTGTACAATTTAAGATTTACCACGACTATGCAATAGGATGACACAGCTGAACACTGTATTCAATTGCTAGCAAATCAGGCAAGCCCTTGCAGTGCATTGTTGATGGTAGTTCTAAAGAAGATTGTAGACTGTGTAGTGCATGGTCACCTTTACAGAGTTACATTCCATCTTCCTAGCACATCCGTGTACATTACTAGGCAAGCCTATGACAGTAATACATACAACACTCATTACACTAACATGCTTATTAAGAAGTCCAGGCTGCACAGATATAGCAAGCTTAATAAGTGTGTCATTTTCTAAACTTTACAGTTGAATTGTAATGTAGATTTCAGAACCTTTTACAAAGCGAGTTTGCATGCTTGTTATTACAGGATGACACAGGCTGGCATAGTCCTGATAATAATGTGAAAAGCACCAACAGAGAAAAGTCAGCACGTGACAGAAGGTGGACTGAACTAAGCTGAGAGCTGTCATCAGTCCACACTGACTTCTTACCTTCTGTGTCTTCCTCTCTCCTTCATGTATGCATTTTCCCTGTAGGCCTTTTACTTTCTCTTATTTTGTAGATAAGAGACGGCTGGAAGCGGGAGGATTTCTTGACTTTCGTTTCCAGGTTTCAGAGTGACTTTTGAATGCTCCGCCTAGATCACCAGTTCTGGATGAATCTCACAGAGCAGGGTCATCCTTCACAGTTGAGCTGCCTCTCAACCAGTGTTCATTTTGACAGCAAATTCCAATTTCGTTTTAGTCATAGTGTTTTGACTAAAATGCCATTTAGTTTTAGTCATATTTTAGTCATCTGAATTGTTTTACTTTTAGTCGGCTGAATATCATAAGATTTTAGTTGACTAAATCTACAGTATATTTAATCTACTCAAATCTACTGGATTTAGTTAAAGAGTCATTTAAGAATTTCTTTAGAATTTCCAATCTCATTATATACCCCTGGAGTAGGCATCTGTTAACTTGTTACTACTTATGGTATTAGGTTTGAACATGCAATACAGACACAGATTTAACTGTTGTGATATACACTGCTCAAAAAAATTAAAGGAACACTTTGAAAACACATCAGATCTCAATGAGGAAAAATATCATGCTGGATATCTACTGTATACTGGGCTGGGTAATGTGTTAGGCCTTGTTCACACCAAATGCAGAGCAGATCCGGTCAGGTTTCTGCACACGCACGCTAGTCTTTTAGACGCGTTTTTGATGCGTTCCGGGCTCTTTTTTAAGTTTAAAATGGGCTTTCAGTGTGTTCCAGGCATTGGCATGCGTTTTTGATGCGTTCCAGAGCAGGTAAAATAGGGCCTGCTGCAGTTTTTTCACCTGCTCTGGATCTGCTCTGCAACTGCACGCTGCGATGTGAACTGGAGCAAAAAATACCATTGGAATATGCACCAGCATAGGCTCTGACAATGGGTCCAAGGATTTCATCCCAATACCTAATGACAGTCAGGCATTGTCTAGCCTGTAGAAGTCTGTGCATCCCTCAATGGATATGCCTCCCCAGACCATCACTGACCCACCACCAAACCGGTCATGCTGAACATTGTTACAGGCAGTATAACGTTCT